CTTCCTATGAAAATAATGCCTTTTTTTCCCTCTAGTTACTTAAAAGATTTTTTTCTTTATTGTTGGCGTTTAGCAGTTTAACTATGGTGTATCTCGGTGTGACTTGATGTTCATCCTGCTGGAGATTTACAGAGCTTCAGTCATTCTCTCCTTCCTTTGGAGGCTCTAATTACATGTACATTAGACCTTTTCACCATACCATTTCTTTGGGTTTCTTGTCGTTTGTCCTGTTATGCTTCAGTGTAACTTTTTTTTTTTTAACCTATCATCCACTTTTTAAAACTCCCTTTAACTCTTAACTATCCAGCAGACTAAGCCCATTCTCAGTGTTTATAATTTGTTGAATTTTTCAGTTCCAGAATTTCCATCTGACTTTTGATAATTTCCCGTTATCATTCAAAATATTTCATGTCTTTAAATTCTTTAAATGTCTGATTTTGAAAGATCTTGTTTTGCAGCTCCATTTGCTGAAATTTCTATGATTTGTTTCCATTATCTTTCTTTTTTTGGTTCAGGTCTATCTTCTTGTATACAAAGTTATTTTTCAAAGGAGTATTAAGCAGCTGTGTTTTATGAGCACACAATGTACACATTTTTATTTATTTTTTTTAGAGAGAGACAGAGAGAGAGAGCATGCGAGTGGGGTGGGGGAGGGTTTTTTGGTGTGGTTTTTTTTTTTTTTTAAGATTTTACTTATTTGAGACAGTGAACGTGACATCTTCACCAATACTTGTTCTTTTCTGTTTACTCTAGCTATCCTTGTGGATATGAACTGGTACCTCACTGTGGTTTTGATTTGCATTTCCTTGAAGACTACACTCTTATGCTTTCACAATTCTGTCTTCAGCTTTTGAATATATAATGTGTCTTGTGGATCTCTGAGTTTCTCCTGTTTGGATTTATTGAGCTTCTTGTATGTAAAGATTCAAGTGTTGTAATAAATTTGAGAACTTTTCAGCTGTTCTATCTTCAAGTATTCTTTCTGCCCATTTCTCTCTTCTTCTGGTACTCCCATTTTGAGAATGTTGGTATGATTCATTGTGCTCCACAGGTCTCTTAAGCTCTGTTTATTTTCCTTCATTCTTTTTTCTTTCTGCACTTTGGATTAGACACTCTCAATAACCTAGCTTCAAGTTCACTGGTTCTTTCTACTGCCAGCTCACATCTGCTATTGGAACCCTCTGGTGTTTTGTGTATGTGTGTGTGTCTATTTGTGTGTGTGTTTTCAGTTTTCATATTTTTCAGCTCAAAATTTGTATGGCTCTTCTTTAGTTTCTTCACTGATATTCTCTATTTGTTGAGACATTACCCTCCTGAATTCCTTTAGCTCTATGAGCATATTTGAGACAGTTCATTTAAAGTCCAGCATTTGTCCTTCATATGGAATGGTTTGTGTTAATTTCTTCTGTAAATGGGCCATACTTTGTTTCTTAGTTTTTTGTTAAAAGTTTTTAGTATTGGAGCGCCTCGGTGGCTCATTGATCAACTCTTGGTTTTAGCTCAGGTCATGATCTCAGGGTTGTGGGATTAAGCCCAGCATCAGGCTCCCCACTCAGCGGGGAGTCGGCTTGAGATTCTTTCCCTCTTCCTCTCCCTCCCCCTCTGCCCCTCCCTTGCTTTTGTGCGCAAGTGCTCTCTCAAAAAAATAAAATCTTAAAATTTTTTTAGTATTATAATGTGACATCCTGGAAATCAGATTTTTCATGCCTCAGGGTTTGTTTTTGTTGCTTGCTGTGGCTCTAATGGTTTGTTACTTTTCTAAACTTCAAATTTCAGTTCTTTGACTCAGGTAGTCTCTGAAGTCTCTTTTGCTTGCACTCAGCTAGTATTACTGCTGACAGATTTCCCTGAATGCCAATAACCAAAAAATAAAACAAGAAAAAAAAAAAAGGAAAGAAAAGAAAAAGAAAAAAATCCTTCCAGTCTTTGCAGACTGTTGGAGCACACCTTCAATGCTTAGCTAGGCCATTTAAAATCTGCCTTAGTGGGGCACCTGGGTGGCCCAGTTGGTTAAGCATCTGCCTTCAGCTCAGGTTATGATCTTAGTGTCCTGAGATCGACCCCCACATCAGGCTTCCCTGCTCAGTGGGGAGTCTGCTTCTCCCTCTCCCTCGGCCTGTCTACCCCCCACCCACCCCTGCTTGTGTACTCTCTCTCTGAAATAAATAAAATCTTTAAAAAAAAAATTTTTTTTAAATCTGCCTTAGCTTTCACTTTCTGCTTGTGCTGAACCTAAAGATCAGTCAGCAGTAGTGAAAGCTTAGGGTCTTCTCCAAGTACATAAATTGGCCTGGACGTGAGAGGCTTTCTCAATTCCCCAATACACATTGTCTTTGAATGGCCTAATTTCCTCAAGAAATTCTCTCCTTTTCCCTCTCAGGCTTTAGGCACTCCTTTATTTTACCTCAACTATCATCTTTTGCTGCAGGTAGCAGCAGGTTATTTGCCTTATCATAGTTTTGAGAAATGCCTGCCACTTTTCCACCCTGAGTTGTGAATTAGATGACACAAAGGCAAGTGCCTTGCTTCAGGCCTTTAGATTGCCCCAGACAGAAAAATTTTTTGAGATTAAGAAATCCGGGGCGCCTGGGTGGCTCAGTTAAGCGTCTGCCTTCGGCTCAGGTCATGGTCCCAGGGTCCCGGGATTGAGTCCCACATCGGGATCTCTGCTTGGCGGGAAGCCTGCTTCTCCCTCTCCCACTCCCCCCTGCTTGTGTTCCCTCTCTCTCTGTGTCTCTGTCAAATAAATAAAATCTTTAAAAAACAAGAGAGATTACGAGATCCTCTGTGCCCTCAGGACCAGTGAACAGGGTCCCTCTGCTCTGAGAATGTGGGCTGCTGTCTGACCACCATGGAGCTGGAAGGGGAATGGAGCAAGGGCAAGTAAAACACCAAAAAGATTTCCTAGTTTTTAGCTTGCCTTCTCTTGATTGAGCACTCACTTGGTTGCTATAAACCTAGTTCTGACAAAGTTGTTTCTGAACGTTTTTGCCTCAGGAAGAATGAATCCTTGAAGCTACCTACTCTATTTTTGCTGATGGTTATTCTTTGAGTGCTTGATATTGTATATGAGAAATTGTAGAGCTAATTTAAGGCTTGGGATGTTAAAATTCTCCAGTGATTTGGGGTGCCTGGCTGGCTCAGTCAGTGGAGCATGTGACTCTTCATCTCGAGACTGTGAGTTCAAGACCCAGGTTGGGTGTGGAGCCTACGTAAAATAAAAAAATTCTCCAGTGATTTATTTTTGCTTGTCAGTTGCATTAGCATTCCTAGATAACTTTAAAACGTCAGGAAACAGATGACTTAAAGCTGGACATCAGGCCTTGTGAGGACCAATCTGTTTCTCATTAATCTTATACTAAGGTGTAGTCCCTTCAAGTGCAACTGAAGGAGCCTGGGATGTTTACCAAGGCACTTCGTCCTAGGTGGTATCTGTGTGGAAGTGTATTTTTTTTTTTAAGATTACTTATTTATTTGACAGAGAGAGACACAGCGAGAAAGGGAACACAAGTTGGGGGAGTGGGAGAGGGAGAAGCAGGCTTCCCGCTGAGCAGGGAGCCCGATGTGGGGCTCGATCCCAGAACCCTGGGATCATGACCTCGGCCGAAGGCAGCCGCTTAACAACTGAGCCACCCAGGTGCCCCTGTGTGGAAGTATATTTTAGGAATTTTGGAACAACTTGCTAAACTCTGTAAAGGGACCCATTGCCAAATAAGAAATAATAGGGCAAGCAAGTTAATGTAGAAACCAAATTTATTAATAGAGTTACTGAGGGCAGTTTGTTAGATATTATCCATAGCTTATGTTGACATCTGATTTTGCAGAGAAACTGTATCATTATTTTTATTAAGATGATTAATACTTCTGCAAGGTAAATTTAGTTCCTTGAAGTAGAACATTTTTTAATTCTCCAATTGGGTTTGGCTTTACTTAGCTATCACAGTCAAATCTCTCTAAATGTATACACTTAACTTGATAAAGGCACAAAATTTTTTCTTTGCCTATATTCCTTCTAAGTGTGCTTGCTCTTCATGCTGAAAAATCCAACTTCCAGAAATTTGGCTGCTAGATCAAAATTGTCAGGACCCTTCTAAGGGTTAAGATTTCACTAAAGAAAAATATACATATACATATTTTATTATATACAAAGTTTCATCAGGTAAGCAAAAGGATATAAATTATAGTCATAATTAGTTCCTTTTAAGCCCTTAAATCACTGGGACCTTCTGCACAACATATAGGCCACACAGCCATTAATCAGAGTTCTTGGTAGTTCTCCCATAAGAGTAATCTATATTCTAGAGAAGCTGGCTTTTTATGAACTCTGGGGGGGCCAATGTGTTAGGCCTCACAAAAGAATGCTTTTACATCTAGGGGGAAACAAACTAAAAATATGGAAGGAAGGACTACTTCTAGAGTTATGTTTATTGTTGACAGTAATTTTAGAACCACACAAAGTGTTAAAAGACTTCTAGGTAAAATTCACACTATCTCATAATAAGAATGGATACCATTTGGTAGCTCTACAAATGGTTTGGTCACAAATGAAAAAGGAGAAAGTGAGCTGAGAATGCAGAATGGAAAAGTCTAGGGAAGGAGGCAAGCAGATACAGACATAATTCAATCATAGCAAGAAAAGTAGAGATGGTCCTTCCCAAGACCGAGTTGGCGATATTTACCTATGTAAGTTAGAGCCTAGAAGGACAGTACAACTTCTATATATATGCTGTCTAGTGAGATACAAGAAAAATATTTTTCCCTTTTTTAGTATTTTTCTTTTTTTTTTGAGAAAAATATTTTTCATTTTTTAGGAAAGGGTTATTTTATATCAAAAGCTAAAAATACATATTTACTCAATGCAAGTCCCAAATAAAACCCAACTTAATACACAGTGAACTACAGAGATGACAGAAAAATGAGTAGACATATTAAATCCAACTGAATTTACAGTATTGCCTTGATATTTTCCATTTGTTTTTCATCTATCCATAAGGCTTAAGTTCTGGAGTTATAGGTTTTATTTTTCATTTTTCTTAGAAATAGAATCACCAATCCCTCAAGTTAACTAAAGATTTATCTGGGCTCGTAGAGGTAGTCTGCTCCTTGTAACAGAATGCTCTGTAGTTTCTTCCACTTTAAACCTCTCCACTGAATTAATGCCTCTGTTTTCTTTGTCTTTTCCATGTGATTTTTTACGCTGTGGACATAAGGGGAGAAATTAAGTCAATATAAAGTAACATTTGATACATATTAGCTACACTCTATTTTCTTTCTTTCTTTTTTTTTTTTTAAAGATTTTATTTATTTATTCATGAGAGACAAAGAGAGAGAGAGGCAGAGGCAGAGGGAGAAGCAGGCTCCCCACGGAGCAGGGAGCCCGATGCGGGACTCAATCCCAGGACCCTGGGATCATGACCTGAGCCGAAGGCAGACGCTTAACCGACTGAGCCACCCAGGCATCCCTTCTACACTCTATTTTCAAAGTTCTCTGGGTTATAGGCAAGAAATTAAGTGTGGAAAAGGCTCAGCACAAATTGGAGCCAACAATTTGTTTGGCAAGTAGAAATGAATGCCTTCTTCATCTTACCATCAATGGAAGGAGTGAGGTGAAAGAAGTATTAATTCTCTGCATGATTTTCCAAGGCATAATTAAAGATTTTACTGTAGGGCAATGGTTCTCAACAGGCAGCAATTTTACCCACCAGAGGACATTTGGTAATATCTGGAGGCATTTTTGGTTGTTAAAACTAAGAGGTGCTGCTGGCTTCTAGTGGGTAGAAGCCAGGGATTCTGCTAAACATCATATAACAAGATAGTCCACCACAACAAAGGATCATCCAGCTCAAAATGTCAATAGCGCTACTATTGAGAAATCCTGCTCTAGAAAAACAAAGATTTGATATCATACAAAAAAGGCAATTCTATTTTAAGCAGAGAATCTGATAAATGGCTAACTCAAGACATTTTTCTGAACTGTATTTTAGCTTTTCTCTTAAACTTATTTCATATTTCTCACTTAGGAATTATATTTCATTGGAATTCTCATATTTGCCCATAGAGAGCTTTAGGAGACTAATGACATTCATTGCACAACCAATCATCCATGCTGAGACAAATCACAAACCAACTTCAGAATTTCAAACCCAGAAAATTTCCCCATGAGACTGCTAGCAGGGAAAAAATAATTTTCAGACTTCAGCTGAAGGTCTAAAATCCAATCCCAAATCTTTTCTGGTATGGTAGGGCCTTCCCTGCCCTAGCTGAACCACTAAGCCTAGCCTTCGAAATGCCATAAATTGTAGTAATGAAGGGATTTCCAGCCAGGGGATTAAGTAGTCACTAGGGTTCTCTTTTCTTTTCTTTTCTCTTTTTAGGGTTCTCTTTTCTTAACTTTCCTTCTTTCCTTAACTTTAAAGATAGAAGAGAGGGTTGAAAAATGAAAAGAAATATATTTAGAGTTGTCTCATAGTAAAGAATAAAGCAAAAAGGTAGGAAGGATTTGGGGATAAAACTACCTTGAGGCAAAGAGAGGAATTTAACAGAAATCAAGCTAGAAGTTTTAACAGCTTAAATCGCAGATGGAGGGTCTTTCTTTAGGCCTTGGTGGGAAGACCTGCAAGTCTACAAGGTACAAGAACATACACTTATCAAAAGCAGCACTTCGACTGTAAAATGTAGACATCAGTGTCTTATGTGAGAAAATCCTTCCATCACAGACTGTGTCTAGGCTCATATCTTCAAAATAAAAGGAAAGATGCTGGGCAGTTTATACTGCCATGCTCCCAAGAGTGTTGAAAAGGAGTTAGGAGAGGTCACAGGATTTAACTGTACAAGATCAAGGCAGGTGAGGAGGCTCAGGAAACATGGGGGAATCCTTAACAAGAGAAAAGTCTCAGGTAGGAGAAACTAATATAACCTGAGAGGACTTCAGTCTCTGTCTTTTAAACTTCTTAGCTTTCAAAGTCTGAGTATGAGCAGATATAGGCTCCAAGACTTCGTGTCAAAGGTGGAGGGGAGAGAGAAATGACTGCTGTCAGTATCCATTCTGCATATGTAGGAAGTGGAAAGGGGAAAACCATAACAGCTAAAGAGTACTATCTGAGGACGGAGATTAAGTTAAACCTTGCCTTTAATTTTCCTACAGAAAACCCCTGATCCATTATCTATATTTGTGTAAATAATTTAAATCAGAAAAGTTATCTTTTCTGCCATCCCAAAGGAATGACAAAATATTTTGCGGTTCCACCCACTAAGAGTAATGCCTTCACATTCAATAGCCAACGACTGACTTATTTCAGATGTGGAAGGGTTATGTGACAGGATATAATCATGTACCTGGAAAAACGGAATCCCACCACTTGATGAACAATCCACGCTAGCATCCACAGATGGCTCCTGACCCGGAGGTTCTTCAGTAGAGTGCCCGAGAACTGACTTTTCTTCATCCAAGTCCTGACGTAAGAAGGTACCATGAGTGATTAAGTCCGATTTAAAAATCTTCACAAAATACGTACAGCTTTCTTCTTTGAAAATAACACAATGTCCATTGTATAAAAGTTAAACCTCAACCAAATTAGTAGGAAGTCTAAAAAATAACGAGGGTGCCTGGCTGGCTAAGTCGGAAGAGTATGGGACTCTTGATCTCAGGGTCGTAAGTTCAAGACCCATGCTGGGTGGAGAGATTACTTAAAAAAAAAAAAAAAAACTTTGAAAATTTAAAAAATAATGAAAATAATCCCAAATATGTTTTCTCATAGAGAAGTACTTGTAATAAAATGTTAAAAGTAGTAATCTCAGAATAATGGGATTACAGTTTATTTTTTATTTTCTACTTCCCAACTCGTCTATAATTACTACAGTTAAGAGCACAGTTTGTGGGGCTCTTCTAGGTTCTAACTGCAACTCCGTCCTGTGACTTGGTAATTCTTAGTTTCCTCACCTCTAAAATGGGGATAGTACTAGCACCTACTTCATAAGGCTATTGAGAGTATTAACTGAGTAAATATGTATGTAAAGTGCTTAGAACAGGCTCTGGCACATAATAAGCACAACATAAATATTGGTTATTATTATTACTTTAATAATTTAAAAATGTCCAGATTAAAAGCAACAGGCTTAAGGGTCAGACAACTACCATTAATGCAACAGGGTAGGATTTAAGGGCAAAGAATAAAATTCTTCATATGAAGATGATGACATAAGGAGTTTATGCGAGACTTCTAAAATTATGATCCTTTACATTTTACCTGACTGATGTCTTCCTTGTTGTTTTCTGAGCAGTTTAGCATCATTAACAGTTCAGGCTGCTTCCTTTTCAACTGATCAAGGAGCTGTTCACGTGGTTCAGTTCTCACCAGTGTTGATGGGTAGAAGTAATTTTTCCTCTGTGGTGTCGTACCTTTAGTGGACATTACATAAATAGGAAAAAATTGAAGTGTGGGATATGAGTAAGATTTTTTTCGTTAGAATGTATACTTCCCAATGAGTCTCTGGCTTCCAAAGATATAGGCATTGCCACACATGGGAATCAGTCTTGTTACCTGTCATGCACAGATTGCTTACAACTACTATTTCCTAATTTGACAAATGATCTTAGATAGACTCAACTATTTTCAGGATTCAACCTACCCCCAAACATGAAATTATCCTTCTCTGAGGATGTACAAAAGATGTGCTATCGGCTCTAAAAGGGATCGAAGCACTCCGAGAAACGGTAGCACTCCTGGAATAAGAGTACTGCTCTCCCAGTGAGATCTTTCATAGGATAATCATTTCATTTAAATTTGGTGGCAGCTAAATATTAACCAAGTACATTTCTTTTTTTTTTTTTAAAGATTTTATTTATTTGAGAGAGAGAGGGAGAGAGAATGAGCGGGGGGAGGAGCAGAGCGACAAGCAGACTCCCCGCGGAGCAGGGAGCCTGACGCGGGGCTCAATCCCAGGAGCCTGAGATCACGAGCAGAGCTGAAGGCAGAGATACTCAACCCACTGAGCCACCCAGGCACCCCCCAGTTACATTTCTTTATAATGAACTCATGCTCTCATACATATTTTACACAAGCACTTGCCTTTCTGATTAACACTTATATTCCTAATTTCATTGAAAAGTGGAAATAAATATTACAGGACCCTTGTGGAAAAAATAAACTAACATTCTTTAGCATCATCTCCTTTTATAATTGTTTTATATATTTTTTTAAAAAAGCTTTGAAGTATAATTTACATACCATAAAATCTATTCAGTGATTTTTAGTAAATCTACAAGGTCTGCGACCCTAAATCCAATCCAAAGAATAAGTTCAATTACTCATCCTGTTCAATAGCTTGCATACCTGCTTCCATGAAGGCTTCCTGAAATCACTATAGGCTAAAATGATCTTTGCCATCTGACAAAATGAGAGGTACACATAAGGAAATACACAATACACTGAGCTTTTTCCAGTAAACTAGATTTATGTAATTACATTCCTCAACTTACAATGCCCTTTTACAAACTGTGCTACATAGATGGTTGCTGGTTTTCTTTTTATTTGCTTTTAAAATATCTTCTCTTTGGGGCGCCTGGGTGGCTCAGTTGGTTAAGTGGCTGCCTTCAGTTCAGGTCATGATCCCAGGGTCGTGAGATCGAGCCCCGCATCAGGCTCCCAGGGGGCTCAGCAGGGAGCCTTCTTCTCCCTCTCCCCCCTGCTCCTGCATGCTCTCTCAAATAAATAAATAAAATCTTTAAAAAAAAAATAGAATATCTTCTCTTAAAAAAAAAAAATTCTCTCCTTCTGCCCCTCCCCACCCACCCCCACTCCTCCACTCCTCTGTGCTCTCTCTCTTTTTTTAAAGATTTTATTTATTTGACAGAGACAGTGAGAGAGGGAACACAAGCAGGGGGAGGGTCAGAGGGAAAAGCAGGCTCCCTGCTGAGCAGGGAGCCCGATGTGGGGCTCGATCCCAGGATCCTGGGATCGTGACCTGAGCCGAAGGCAGACGCTTAACCATCTGAGCGCCCCTGTGCTCTCTCTTAAAAAAAATAAAAATAAAGGGGCACCTGCCTGGGTGGCTCTGTTGGTTAAGCTTCTGACTCTTGAATTTTAGCTCAGGTCATGATCTCAAGCCCCCCTTGGGCTCTGCTCAGCCTGGAGTCTGCATGTCCCTCTCCCTCTGCTCCCACCCTGCGTGCACACACACTCTAAAATAAATAAATAAAATCTAAAAATAAATTAAAAATCTTCTCTTAACCAAGCCAGCTCCCTAAATATTTATAAAATTTTATTGATTGTAATGCCCAAATTTCATGACAAGTACATGTCACCCATATCATGATACATAATCTTGATTAAAGATATTTTAGGGTTCCATTTTTTCCATTTGAGGTGACTACAGTGAGATGGAAAATTCTTACCAGGCAATGGCAGGACCTGGTTTTTCTGAACATCTGGCACAGTACAAGGTTGACTTCAACTTCAAAAATTTTAACAATTCTCTTTCCCTTTAAAGTACCTGTTGGGATATCCAGTTTCAGGTCCTGTTGTAGAAAGCAATTAAGCTTAGTCAAACCCATTTTTATGGTTTCGTTAAGTTCTAGACTTTGTGCCATTAACTTTTCTTCATCAGTAGTTATCTGACCAAAAAAAATGTTACGCTGGTTCTCATTAGCTGCTTTATGTCCATTTAATTTTTCAGTTATCTCTGAACTTGCAGACTTACAGCCTTGGTTTACAACCTGTAAATGATGCAAATGAGCTTTCGTTATTAAAATCAAAGCTGTTGGTGTTTTATTCAATATATTATTGCCCCTTATCTTGAAATTTTCCATATTAAAAGTTTTAAAAACACATGCAAAAGTAGAGAGAATAGTATAATTAACCCCCTTGTATTTACCCAGTCTCGACATTTATCAACACATGGGGTATAGATCAAACAAAATTAACCACTTAGTCCTCCTCCCATAGAATTATTTTAAAGCAAATCCTGTATCATTTCATCCATTTATTTCAGCATACACCTCTAAGAGTTAAGAGCTTTTTAAGACCACTCTCACATCTGAAAAACTTACATTGATTTCTTTATAGCAAATGTCTAGTCAGCATGCAAACTTTCCCAATTATCTCAAATGTTTTTCACAATTTGAATTTATCATTAGATTTGGTTGATTTGTCTTAGGTAGATGACTATATAATTTATCACCCAAACTGGGATACTTTTCAGAGTGAAAAGGGCCATTCTTAAAAACAATTACCTCCAAACAACAGATGTAAACAAGGACTATCCCACGCAAACTAGGTCTTAAGACCCTCTGGTCTTAACTCTCTTGATAATAGGATATCTTTCCTCATACTTTTTTAAGTGTTTGGCAAGAATATTTTGTAGGTGCTGCTAAAAGCACATATGTTTGGTTCTATCTCTCATGTTAAGATTAATCAGTTAGGAGACCTAGTTGGCTCAGTTGGTAGAGCATGCAGATCTTGATCTCAGGTTTGTGAGTTCAAGCCCCACGTTGGAGTAGAGTTTACTTTAAAAAATAAATAAAATTTAAAAGAAAAAAAAGATTCATTAGTGAGTTTGCATGTAATCACCCTATTAATTATAAAGTTCTCTATCAAGGGGTGTCTGGCTGGCTCAGTCAGAAGAGCGTGAGACTCTTGATCTCCGGGTCATGAGCTCGAGCCCCAGGCTGGGTGTAGAGATTACTTAAAAACAGGGGCGCCTGGGTAGCTCAGTCGTTAAGTGTTTGCCTTCGGCTCGGGTCATGATCCCAGGGTCCTGGGATCGAGCCCCACATCAGGCTCCCTGCTCACCACTCCCCCTGCTTGTGTTCCCTCTCTCGCTGTCTCTCTCTCTCTGTCAAAATAAATAAAATATTAAAAACACACACACACGACTTTAAAAAACAAATAAATAAATAAAAATAAAGTTCTCCATCAGTTTTTTTCAAATGGTGTAGATAGTAATTAATGTCCACGGGGGTTATCTCACTAGGATTGCAAAATAGTGGTTTTCAAATTCTGTCATTCCTTCTGCATTAGCTGGGATTCTTCTGTGAAACACTTGGCTTCATCCACTATCGTGCTAAACCACAATAGAATTCTTTTGGCAAAGACATATGGATGCTCAACTGTTTCCCTTTATTTACCAGTTTTCAGAATAATGCACTGCCTCCCTAACACGATCCAAAGGAGACCTATGAAATTTTTATGAATGCATAAGCTTTAATATATTTAATGTATTTTAATCAATTATAGCAATTATTCCTTTTGAAACTCAAATTATACCATATTTAAACAAAGGAGTGTCATCAGGTGGGCTCCTATGTTTTTTTGATACAACCCCACTAATCTTTAATAGCTCCCTTACCTTCTGGTATGACAGGATCTCTAGGCTTATCTGGTATATTTTCTGTTTAAACCTGAAATCAGCTATTTCTCCATTAGCCCTGGTTCCTTTTGGTAAAAATAGCTTATACATAGCTTAAAATATTTTTTTTTTTACTTACATTCTTTTACCTAGTTCCTGAGAATATTAGTAAAATCCTTTTATAGCACAAAAAGAAAAACCAAGCCACAAAGGGCTCATGCAAGTATTAAGATCAAGCAAACACACAAAACTATCAAGTATCCTTTGACCAATCAGAACAATATCCTAAATATTTAAACAATAATAGGTTTGAATTATATTCAAAAAACAGGGTGCCCTTAACTGAAAGAACTAACAAGTCAAAAACCAAGGACAGATACAGGACAGACAGACACAAGAGTTAAATAATTTCAAGCTCTAGAAGACAGGTACCTGAGACTAGATCATGAATAAGGATACCAACTATTATGCTTTAAAAATTTAATTCATTCATTATTTTAAAATATCATCTGTTTTGAAACCAATTCTAAGCCAGGAATATTTAATTTTCTGATTATGACTATTCTCTCCAAAGTAGGTTCCAAATACAAAGTTATTACCTCCAATAAGTTCTGAAGTTCTTCTTCCCTTTCGTTTAAGCAAGATACCCACTGTTCAGAAAAAGAAAGTGTGCTTGCGTTCAGGGCCTCGCATTTCTGTTCAGTCTCTTGAGATACTACTTCAAGGTTGCTACTGAGTTTATCACAGTGTTTCACAGACTCTTCAACCAATTTTGTACCTTCTTGGTTAAAGTGTCTGAGTTCCTGTGACAAGCCATCACAATCAGCACAAAATTGTGTACTATAAGAGGTTGTTTTGCTGATTATATCCTTAGATGTCCTATAGAAAAAGAGAACATTGTTAAAATGGAAAACTAAGCCTCAAAAGACCTATAACTTGCCCAAGATCACACAGTTCAAAAATGGCATATTTGAACCCAGGCAGTCTGGCTCCAGAGCCCATGTTCTTAATCAATCTTCTACATTGAGGATGGATGCTTTGGCCAGTGTCTTTTCACAGCAGACTGACATCATATCGGCCATTAAATGACCTTTGGAAATGTCTCTTTTCTCATAAAACCTTTCCCAGCTCTCTCCAGATATGATGCTTTACTTTGTACCTCTTAGAGTAGTAACTATAGTTACTAAAATAAAATCTGCCCATGTGTCTTTTTCCTCCTACTAGATTATATTACTTAAGGGCATTACCTGCAGCCTCTAGTCTAGTCCCTAAACTGTCCACAATCATTCTGTTCTTAAGTAGTTTTGCCTTGTCTATGACCTTAAATAAATGGAAAAAAATTATAAATGTTATAAAACAAAGTCAACTATAAAGCTTTCTAATAATTAAGATTATACTGGGTGTGACAAACTATACACCTAGCACACAAGGTATACTGCAATATACCCCTGCTAGAAAACTAAAGTCCTCTCAGGACTTCAGAGTTAAACTTTGGTGAATGGAAGTTACTCTCTATTACCACTAGATGGTACACCATGTGAGGAAACCAAATGAGGAAGCAAACAGGTTGAAAACCAAAGTTCAACTACAGGTTAAATGGAAATGATTGAAAAAGGAAAAGAAATTCAAGTGATAAGCTTGGAACCTATCAACACAAATCTAGTCCCTCAAGGAATCACAACCTAGCAGGAAGATGAAATTTATTCACGAGTGACTACAATCCATGACAGTAAGTGCCACAGGCAGTGAGTGGGTCTCGAACTCCAGTATACATAAACCTCCCCTAGATCCCTGGGCCCTACTCCTGGCTCATTCTTTTACACGGTCCCTGGACCACACTTTGAAAATCACTGGTATAGGCAATAAATGTCAGAAAGATTGGGGAAAATGGCTTGCAGGGGGCTTAAAAAGAGTATATCATAGTTCCATAGCCATTTCAATCCCATTCCAGTATTCCCTTCAGAGCTATTGAAGAAGCCAGAAATCCTTAAATCTATTTTTTTTTTTTTTAAGATTTTATCTATTTGACAGAGAGAGACACAGTGAGAGAGGGAACACAAGCAGGAGGAGTAGGAGAGGGAGAAGCAGGCTTCCTTCCCGCTGAGCAGGGAGCCCGATGCGGGGCTCGATCCCAGGACGCTGGGATCTTGACCTGTGCCGAAGGCAGATGCTCAACGATTGAGCCACCCAGGCACTCCTCTTAAGTCTAAACACAGAAAAAAAAAAGTGGGGAAACACTTCCTAGACTCAAGAGTCTAGAAAGAAGAGTTCAGAATGGGGCATGATATAATGAATAGGATCAACAACAGAATTGGAAAACCAGTGATAGGAGTTAGGTAGCAAAATAGGTGACAGCTAGAATTCTAGGACAGCACTGTTCAATAGATATAATATGAACCACATAATTAAAAAATTTCTAGTAGCAGGGCGCCTGGGTGGCTCAGTTGGTTAAGCGACTGCCTTCGGCTCAGGTCATGATCCTGGGGTCCTGGAATCGAGCCCCACATCAGGCTCCCTGCTCAGTGGGGAGCCTGCTTCTCCCTCTCCCACTGCCTGCTGCTCTGCCTGCTTGTGCTCTGTCTCTGTCTCTGTCAAATAAATAAATAAAATAGTTAAAAAAAATTCTAGGGGCACCTGGGTGGCTCAGTTCTTAAGTGTCTGCCTTCGGCTCAGGTCATGATCCCAGGGTCCTGGGATCGAGCCCTGCATCGCTTCTCCCTCTCCCACTGCTTGTGTTTTCTCTCTCACTGTGTCTCTCTCTCTGTCAAATAAATAAATAAAAAATCTTTAAAAAAGTCTAGCAGCAAAAAAAAAAAATTCTAGTAGCCACATAATAAATAAATAAATAAATAAATAAATAAAGCGATTAGAATAACAATGTCCTGGGTGTATACAGCATATGCCAAAGCAAAATATATGAAAACAATGCAAAAGAGATAGGAAGGAGAAATTGGGAACATACTGTTATAAGGTACTTTTATCACACCCGAAACAGCAAATTACTTGAAAGTGTATTAACATTATTTTTTTTTAAAGATTTTATTTATTTATTTGAGAGAGAGAGAATGAGAGAGAGACAGCACATGAGAGGGGGGACGGTCAGAGGGAGAAGCAGACTCCCTGGCAGAGCAGGGAGCCTGATGTGGGACTTGATCCGGGGACTCCAGGATCATGACCTGAGCCGAAGGCAGTCGCTTAACCAACTGAGCCACCCAGGCGCCCCTGTATTAACATTATTTAAAAATGTGTATCATTAATCCCAGAAAAACTATTTTTAAAAAAGGTAACTTAAAAGTATAAATGATAAGAGGTGCCTGGGTAGCTCAGTCGGTTAAGTGTCTAACTCTTGGTTTTAGCTCAGGTCATGATCTCAGAGCCTGCTTAGGATTCTCTCCCTCTGCCGACCCCCCAACTCCCCCAATGCCACTCTCATGCACATTCTCTCCTAAAAAAACAAAAGGAAGAAAAAAAGTATAAATGATAAATCAGTGAAAGAGATAAAATGAAAACATAAAAACACTCAACTTAAATTCAGAAAGGTATAAAAGGAAACAAAGCACAGAATATGCAACAAATAGAAAACAGCAAAATGGGAGATTTTAATCCAACTATACCAATACTTTAAATGAAAATGGTCTAAACACACCAGTTAAAAGTCATACATTGTTAAATGTGATGAAAAAGCAAGACCCAATTACAGGTTATCTGCAAGAAATCCACTTTAAATATAAAGATGTAGGCCAAAAGTAAAGGGATGGAAGTACATTATATGCAAATAGCAATGAAAGGAAACCTAAGTATTTATATTAGTTTCAGATAAAGTAGACTTCAGAACAAGGAAGATTATCAGGGATAAAATGGGACATTACATGATGATAAAGCAGTCAGTTCTCCAAGACATATCAACACTAAATGTGTATGCATCTAACAACAGAGCATCACATATATGCAGCAAAAACTGATAAAATTGATGAGAAATAGATAAATCTAAAATTGTAATTGGAGATTAACACCCCTCTCTTAGTAACTGATAGAACAAATAGGCAGAAACTCAGTAAGGATACAGATGACCCAAATAACACCATCAATAGACCTAACTGACCTGTATAGAACATTTCATCCATCAAAAGCAGAATACAAATTTTTTTCATACAGGTAGCACCAAACGAAGCATATTAGAATGCAAGGGCTCTGAAAATAAAATTGTCTTTGGAACCAAAGCTCACAAAACTGGGCCAGGGCCTTCACATTAAACCTAAACAAAAGTGAATGCCTGCCAAAAAAGAAAACTTAAATAGGATTCTGAATCTCCTAACATAATAATCAAAATCTTCAAGATATAATCAAAACCATCCCGGAAAATCACAACTTGAGTGAGAAAAGACAACAGGTGCCAACACTGAGATAATTCAGATGTTGGAATAATCTGTCAAGGATTTTAGAGCAGCCATACAAAAATGTTTCAATGAGCAATTAAAACACTTTTGGAAAAAATAAAATCTTAGCAAAGGAATAAGAGAGATTAAAAAAGAAGGAAATGAAAATTAAAAAACTGAAAAACCCAATAACAAATAAAACACCTCACTGAATGGGTTGTACAGTAGGTTAGAGATGGCAAAGGAACATGAAGACAGTTCATAAAATTTACTCAATCTGAACAACAAAGAGAAAATAAACTATCTATAGCCTCAGAGACCTATGGAACCACAACAAAGATCTAACATTTGTGTCATCAAAGTCCTAGAAGCAGAGGAGAAAGAATATAGAGCTGAAAAACATTCAAATAATGGATGAAAATTTCCATAATTGGTGAGAGGTGTAAGTGTACAGATTCAAGAAGCTGAGTAAATCCAAATAGGATAACCTCAAAGAAATACATAAGATGACACAATATAATCAAACCTCCAAAAACTAAAGGCAAAGAAAAATATCTTGAAAGGAGCTACAGAGAAATTCCAATTAATCATGAATGCCAACCCCAACTGAGGGACACTGTACTAAATAAATATTCTATGCTGTTGAAAAAACAAAGGTCATAAAAGACAAACACTATGAAACTACTCCAGATTAAAGGAGATTTAAGAGACATGACAATCAAATGCAATGTGTGATCCTAGATTAAATCCTGGAGCAGGAAGAAAATCTTTTTTTCTTATAAAGGACATCAGTGAAACAACTGGCAAAATTTGTCTGTAATACTAGGTAATAGAAGTTACCAATATTAATTTTCTGATTTAAAATAATTGTATTATGGTAATATAAGAGAATATCCTTATTTTTAGGAAATACAGACTGAAGTATTTAGGAGAAAGTGAGCATTATGGACGCAACCTATGCACAGCTAGTTCAGAAAAGGTATCTCTATGTGAAATATTAAGAGGGGTTGGGGCGAGAGAAAGGGAATGAGAATGAGAAAACTAACATAAAATGTTAAATGAGAAATCGCGTTGATTGATAGTATTATTTGTACTGTTTGAAGCTGTCTATTCTGAAATAATTTCAGGCAGAGAAAAGTTAAAGAGAATTTTTTTTTTTTAAGATTTTATTTATTATTTTTCAACAGAGAGAGAGACAGTGAGAGAGGGAACACAAGCAGGGGGAGTGGGAGGGAGAAACAGGCTCCCCGCTGAGCAGGGAGCCCGATGCTGGGCTCGATCCCAGGACCCTGGGATCATGACCTGAGCCGAAGGCAGACGCTTAACGACTGAGCCACCCAGGCGCCTGAAAAGTTAAAGAGAATTAAAAACTGCTTACTGTTCTGTATTTTCTTGGACGCTACTAAGTGGTTTCTGGATGTTTTCACACTTTTCCTCCAAGGCACAGAATCTCTCTGCCCAAAGATTGAGTAACTGGCAAAGTTCCTGTAAGAAAGGTGTGGGAGAGGAAGAGTTGAAATTATAACACCTGAACTTTTCCTCTAATATTGACACGAAGTATTTTCCCATAGCTGGGAATTAAACAAATTCTTAACAAGAGAACTTTAATTCCACTTCTCACCCATAGAGGAAAGCAGTGTAACTGATATTAAAAGGATAATATTAAAGGAATTTTTAAAAAAGTAAACAATTAGCAAATTTTGCTATCTTAACTACTATTTAGTAACAAATTACTTTCAGTGTACCTCAAAACTAAGCAAATACACCAAGATGTCACCTTATGCTAGGAGAACCACTTTGACAGGTATAGAGCACCAGTTGCTTCTTAACGGATAACACTACTAGAAAAGTAATGCTGATAATCAGATGGGTCAAGCAGTCCAAAAATTGTAGTAATTACTTAAGCTGAAACATTTTACAGAATCTAGATGGATAATATTAATAAAATATAATTTTACCTTTGCTCATACTCGGCATCTTTAAAAACAAGTTCTTATAAGGCACACAACATGATAGGGATTTAAACTTATAAAATGAAGAAGCTACGCTAAAGGCCAAGAAAGAGCTGAACATGCATCCAGCATTCTTATTCACTGTTCAGTCCATTAGGTCGACCAACATCTCTAAAATACACATCAGCTGACAGTACATATCCAAGACTGATTATGAATAAAGTTTGTCAGTATTTTTACTCGTCTCAAAGTAGAGGGAAATGCAGGTATTATCAGATTTATCTACATGTAGATAGGTGTTCTTAATTGTTTTGTTAGTGCTAACTTCAAGTTCTAGAACATCTGAGAAACAGAACTTCTGTAAAGCCAAAGAAATCAAATCATGTTAAAATACTTTCTGGATCATAGGTGTTTTGCTTGTTTTTAAACAGCTGCTTATCAATTTAAACATTTCAAAACAGCTAATATATAAAAAGTTGATCTACCTTAGAACATATACCTAAAAAGTTATAGACAGGTTGATGCAGAGGTATGAGAAACTGCTACAATTTCAAATTGCAAGAATATGTTCTAGAAACAGAGCAACTCAAAAGTGGATGCATTTCACCACTACTACTCTCAGAGGATCTAAATACTCTTACATGCTTTCAAAGCCTTGGTTTCCTCATTAGAAAACTAGGATAGTAATAGAACCTGTATCTATATTGATGACAGGAATAAGCACATAGTGAGAGGCTCAGGAAATGTTAACTATTAGTTTTACTATTTTGGTGTTAATCCTTTCTCCAAAAAGTTTCATGCTTATCAATTACAGAAACAAATACTCTTACTTCAAAGTTGCTTTAACTCTTGCCTAAAAATCTTGGATTTGTTGCCTTTCTCATTTTGGATGACATGGATATGAATTCCCCCTCCCTTACTTCCAAAGAAAAAGAAACCTCTATTACTCACTAAATCATGTCAATAGTTTTATTGACCAAAGAGTTCTGTCATGTAATAATTAGCCTCATTTAATAAAACTTTACACTCATTACTCAGGCCTCAGGAATACGAGTTGTTTTCCATTTATCTGATCTTTACAGATTATGACTTCCCTGGTTTGGAGGTTTGGTTTCGGTCATGAACCGAGAAACAGCTTACATGGAGGAAGGTAAGTCATGAATTACATTTATAATCAATTAAAATTAAGAACTGTATTAATTGGGGCACCTGGGTGGCTTAGTCGGTTAAGCATCCGACTCTTGGTTTCAGCGCAGGTCATGATCTCAGGGTCATGAGATAGAGCCCTGCATGGAACCCAGTGTGGAGCCTGCTTAAGATTCTCTCTCACCCTCTGCCTCTGCCTCTGCCCTTCCCCCCACCATGGGCATCCATGCACTCTCTCTCTTTCAAAAAAAAAAAAAAGAATTGTATTAATTTGCTATAATCTAAATGTCTGACATCGATGAGACAGAAATAGTATGAGACGGCATACAGTTTCTGAAAGAGAATAACTATCCATGTTACCCTAGGAAAAAAACAATTTATCAAGTTATACTGTAGATACGTATTCATTGTAAATACTATAACAATTTTCTTCTAATTACACTCCCAAAAGTTTCTCTAGCTTTATCTTTCATCTTGGTATGATGAAAGGAAGGTCTTGTCTTTATTTTTTCTTAAGATTTTATTATTTATTTGAGAGAGAGAGAGAGCTTGAGCAGGGAGAGGGGCAGAGGGGGAGGGAGAGGAAGACAGAGACTCTCAAGCAGACTCCCCTATGAGTGCAGAGCCTGACGTGGGGCTCAATTTCACAACCATGAGATCATGACTTGGGCCAAGATCAGGAGTTGGACGCTTAATTGACTGAGCCACCCAGGCGCCCCTCCTGTTTGTCTTATAGTGCTTTAGCACAGGGTTCTAAATGTAGCAAATCCTAAAATATTAACTGGTCAAGAAAAGTATTCTTAATTATTTTGTATTATTGTTATAAGCAAGAGTGGCTATGGCATTTTCCAGTTTCTAAATTAGTTCTACTAATGAGATTAGTATTAGCATTCAGATTACATAACAGGGATTATCAAGTTAAAGATAACAAAACTTCCTTTTTATGCTCCCCAAAATCACCTAAATGAGATACCTGTGAATGGATTTTTTTTATTGTCTTCAGGTCTTCAGTTAAGTTTTCACATAGCTTCTGTGATTCAGCCAAGGAAGAAACTGTATTTTCTTGTAGTTCATGTAGCTTGTTACACAGTGTACCGAGAAAGCTATCCATTTCCTTTTTCTGATCTTCTATCTTTGAAGGAAAAAGTTACTTTCTTTTAATTAAAAAAACATATTTTAGTTTGTTTGTTGAACACATACAAAATAGAACACATCCAAGCAAGAAAACAGTATGCAGAGAAAAGTCTTCCCCTCCACCTGGAGCCCCAGTTCCACTCTCACCTCTGGGAGAAGACTGCTATCATTTTTAAACACTTCCAGAGATATTTTATGCGTATTTAGGCAGATGTGCATATGCATATGCGTGTATACCTGGATATGCCTATCTTCTTCACCCACTCAAGGTAGCATGCTATATGTATATGCTACTATGTAAACACACACTTATCTTGAAGATCATTCTCTCATCTTTCTTAGCCAGGATTCTGTTGATCACATCAATGGCAGCGAGCATCCTATATCCTCTCTCCTCCAGATTCCCATTCACAACCCATGGCTTTGCATGTATACAGATGTGGCCACAGATATATAAAATTTCTTAAAAAACAATATGATTTTGAGAAATTAAGAACATAACACTTGTTACCTTACTAGCCACTGTCAATGAAGTCTTGAAAAGATGCTTTAGTTGACTGTTGATTTTCAGTATAAACACCATCGTGGGGGATAAAACCGTTTCCAGTGAATTTAGAAGGTCAGTCTTAAGTACATCCTGGTTAAAAAGAATATTTTCACTTCCATAAACCTGGCTGGTTAAATGACAGTATCTTAAAATACTTTGTTAACACATGCATAGTGAAATCCTAAGTTTCCATTCTCTAATCTTTATAGTCTATAGAGCCTATTTGTTTCTGGAGTTTATATTCATGTTACTTAATTCTACCTATAGTAATTAAGAAATGGTCATGTAGTGTTCGACAGATTCTTAACAGTCTAATGCAACAGAAGTCCAAAGAATTCAGAAGAGGGGAAAACAACAATCATTTGATAAGATATCAGCATTGCAAATAAAGGGAATTTAAAAAAAAAACTGGATAAGTACATTTTAACAAAATAAATTTCAAGTAAGTCAGAAAGGCTGAGACCAAATAGCCTTCAAAGGTAGGCTCTGAGCTGGAAGTATTAAACTCTGAAGACCTGGTGACTTATATCCTATTGTAGCTGAAGAACTTGTCAAGGTTCTTGTTCTTGTCGAGGTATATACAGAGTTGAGAATGTAGATTGGGAATTTTTTTTTTTTTTGGATTGGTAATTTTTACAAAAAGGGAAAAACTGTGACCTTAAGTTCCCTTCACTTGGGTAGGGTGAGGAACTCTAACAGAAACAATTAGTGAGGAATGAAAGGAAAAGGCTAGTGGCATTCTTTGGGAAGGAAAAGCTATCATCATTTCAACTCATCCTGTGGGAGAAGCAATCATCTCTCTTGACTCCAGCAGTGTTTACAAGGTGGCAGAGAACTTGGTAGGAAGACATCAGTAAATACAGTCTTGCATTTAGTGCATGAATCAATTTCCTAAAAGTACCAACTGAGCCTCTATTAACTTTGTCAAATTTGGGTGACTGAAGAAATCTATCAAATAGTGTCATATAAGCACTGCATCTAGGCAGTGTCAACTAACATTTGTAGTTATTTACTTGGAAAATGTTCAACAAATATTGTTAGACTCAAAAGGGGAGGCAGAGAGCCTACGTAAAGAAGAAAAGAGATATGGCCAAGGACTTCCTGGGCACATCATACAATTACAAATAAAGAGTATTATTCAAATCAGCTATGAAGGAGGTAATACTAGCATAATTGGATGAGTGGCTTCTATAGAACCATGAAAAGGAGCCTTACAGTTAAGAAGGGCTTGATCACACAGATCTGACCCCATAAATTGTCATATGTGTTCCTAGAATTCTAGCAGTTTTTTTTCTTGCACTTCTTGGTATTACCATAATTTTAAAATTAACCAACTTAGGGACTCCTGGGTGGCTCAATTGGTTAAGCGACTGCCTTCGGCTCAGGTCATGATCCTGGAGTCCCGGGATCGAGTCCCACATCGGGCTCCCTGCTCAGCGAGGAGCCTGCTTCTCCCTCTAACCCTCCCCCCTCATGTACTCTCTCTCTTTCTTGCTCTCTCAAATAAATAAATCTTTAAAAAAAAAAAAATTAACCAACTTATATCCCCTCTGGTTGGGTCAACTTTAACATCAGCATTACCATTCCAGAACCCTTGAGGAAAAGATGATTTACTAATTTCTGAGCCAACCACCAACTCGTGGGTCCCCTGAATTCACCTGGTGCTAAACCTGTCCTTTCTAATTATCAGGCTTATTAACTCCTGCTCTTAATGTTACAAGATGCTAGTGAAAAAAGTGTCAAAGGTTGGTCATATGCATTTGGAAGTTAATCTTTCTGGGAGAACAAAACAGTGGAGAGATTTGCTTTTAAAAATATAAATCTGGGGGGTGCCTGGGTGGCTCAGTCAGTTAAGCTACTGCCTTCATCTCAGGTCATGATCCAGGGGATCCCGCATCCGGCTCCTTGCTCAGCTGGGAGCCTGCTTCTCCCTGTCTCCCGCTCCCCCTGCTTGCATTCTCTCTGTCTCTCTCTCTGACAAATAAATAAAATCTTTAAAAAAGATAAAATAAAAATCATATTTTTTAAAAAAAAATTAAAAAGAAATATATATATCTGGGGGGCACTGGGTGGCTCACTCGGTTAAGCGTCTGCCTTTGGCTCAGGTCATGATCCCTGGGTCCTGGGATCAAGCCCTGCATCAGGCTTCCTGCTCAGCAGGGAGTCTGCGTCTCCCTCTCCCTCTGTCCCTCCTCCCCACTGTGCTCTCTCAAGTGCACACTCTTTTTCTCTCAAATAAAAATAAAAACATTAAAATCTTTTTCAAATAAATAAAAATCTTAAAGAATATATATTTATATATACATATATATAAATAAAATCTGGGGCACCTGGTAGCTCAATCAATTAAGATTCTGCCTTTGGCTCAGGTCACAATCCCAGGGTCCCGGGATTGAGTCCCACTTCGGGCTCTCCTCTCAGGAGGGAGTTTGCTTCTCCCTCTGCCCTTCACCCAGCTCATGCTCTCTCTCAAATAAATAAAATCTTTAAAGAAAAAAAAAATATATATATATGTATAAAAATCCACTCTTAAAGTGATGTTTATAACCATGTTTTGTAAAGCTTAAAATGAAAGAGCAGTTAACATTGTTTTCGAAGACTTAGCAAAGTAACACTTGAAAAATACTTAAAGAGATTTACTAACAATCAATGTCTGAAGTACAGTTTTACTTTCTGCTGCTAATGATTGTTCTTTTAATATCATATTAGAAATCTGAGAAACACGTATAGACACATTTTCTGGAACAGCTGTGAGAGATCCAAGTGCTGTTGTAGTAATTGTGTCTAATGCACAGACACTGGAAGACAGCAGGTTACCTATACCAAAAAGAAAAAAGATACAAATTTTGACATAAATATATTAATACAGTTAGAAGTACTTTAAAGAGGTTGAGAAAATTATATCCTTGTGGCAATTTGTAGTAACAAATAAGCTTAAAATAATTGGCTCATTACATCAGCTAGGAAACATTTCAAATATAAATTATTTATGTTCTAGAGTATTCTGCAAGCACATGTCATATTTGTTAGTTTATCAGACCCATCACTATAGTTCACAGTAAACCAAGAATCATTGTGATCTCCAGCTACAGGTAATCACAGTATTATAATAGGTAAAAGAGGTTATAAAATTAATAAACCAAACAAGAGTGGTTGGCTTAGAGCAACTAGACTCTAGGTGATTTTTACAAATTTTTACATTTCTGTATCTTACACGTTTTCTATATTGAAGATAATACTTTCACATTAAAAAACTAATATTTAAGAGGGGCGCCTGGGTGGCTCAGATGGTTAAGTGTCTGCCTTCAGCTCAGGTCATGATCGGGCTCCCTGCTCCGCGGGAAGCCTGCTTCTCCCTCTTCCTCTGCCTCTCTCTCTCTCTCTCTGACTCTCATGAATAAATAAATAAAACATTAAAAAAAATAAAAAACTAATATTTAAGAGTTTTTTTTCTCTGGGCACCTAGGTGGCTCAGATGGTTAAGCCTCTGCCTTCCTGGGATCGAACTCCCCATCAGGCTTCCTGCTCAGCAGTGAGTCTATTTCTCCCTCTCCCTCTGCCCCGCCACCTGCTTGTGCTTGCTCACTCTCTTGCTCTCTCAAATAAATAAATAAAATCTTAAAAAAAAAAAAAGTGTTTTTTCCCCTAAATGAAGATAACAAACAATGGGTGCGGTTAAACTTACTTTAATAGAAAACAGGAAAAAAAAAAACCAAACCCAGCTAAGATTTGTTTTAATTCAAAGGTAGTAAAAGATAATCCCTAGTCTGACAGATAGTGTGTGCACTGGAGGGGACTAGTGACATGGTCCCCTGAGTTTTTTAAGAGAGTAAATGATCAGTTTTGAAATTAGTCTCACACTAATCACACAGAGACTAATTAGAAATGCTTGAACTTACCAAACAAAGTCTTGTGAGTCTCTAGCATGGCCTTTTGTTTTGAGCTGTTATCCTTAATTAATTCTTCCATGTTACTAAACAGACTATTCAGGTTTTTGCCAAAAATATCCTGAGCTTCTGCATTGTGCTGATCGACTGCCTTCTTACGATCCAGTTTGGAATGGAGACCAGATACATCTTTTGTAGTTTCTTCAACTGTGGTAAGCAACTATATATAATTTTTTAAAATAAATGTTGATAAGATGGATATGACAGAACAGTCTAATGATAATATCTGTGCTACATAAGGATTTCTCCTGATGAGAACTAGTAAGTTTTAGATATTGTATCAGAACACATTTTCAATTCATGCTAATTTATCCAGTTGCCCAGGAATTTCCCCTCATCTAGCAATCTAGGCAAGGAAAGGGATTTTGCCAACCTAATACAGTAATTACACTTCCTCATAAATTTTTCTATTATGTGTGACTATTTCTTCTAACATGCACCTAATAAACAATTCTTTCACCATCTCCCACCATTAGAAGGTGCTAAATTCTTTATGACTGATTAGTTCCAATCATGACCAAAGGGGAAAGTATTGCATCATTGTTTTCAATGTCCCCAAAGTACAATAAAATTATTTTCTATTTACAAAAACTTCAGGAATGGTTTTTTCCTTAAGTCGGAAATTCTAGTGAGGAAAATTCAGATGAAATAGTAAAATAATGTTCTTTAAATTGACAGAAATATCATTTGGGGTGGATAAATAGAATTTCACAGTTAATGCTTAAGCAAAGAAAGTTACTTCTACCCATTCTCTAATTTCTTTAATGCAAATACAAATCAAAACAAAAGACAAACCCTGCTGGCAGCATCATGAAGTTTCTCCTCAGTACTTTCCAAAGCTGATGTAATATACTCTTCTTCAGCAAGCTGTAATTTAGTTTCTTGTAAATGTTTTTGAGTGGTTTCAAGTTCCTGTGTCTTATTTTGCAGGTCAGACTTACACTGGTCAAGTTCATTTTTATTGTCCATAAATAACTCTGTAACCTAAATATAACATTTAAATATTTTTTAAGATTTAAGCCTCTGCCTTCCTGGGATCAAGCTCTGCATCAGGCTTCCTGCTCAGCAGTGAGTCTATTTCTCCCTCTCCCTCTGCCCCGCCACCTGCTTGTGCTTGCTCGCTCTCTTGCTCTCTCAAATAAATAAATAAAATCTTAAAAAAAAAAAAATGTTTTTTTCCTAAATGAAGATAACAAACAATGGGTGTGGTTAAACTTACTTTATAGAAAACAGGAAATAAAAAAACCAAACTTATGGCTAGTCCATAATATAATAGAAGAATCAAACAAATTATTTCCATGCAAAAGCTGTGAGAAGTTGTTAACAAGTCACCAGGTAGGTTAGCACATTTTATATGGTATCTGGTCTCTTCCTGTAAATTCATTAAAAATTTTGAGATTAAATACCAGGTTAGTGTAGTGGTGTTAGCTCTTCAGGTCCCTTTCAACAGTGACAATGTGAGGCATAGAAAGGTCACGTCTCTCCACCTTAGTTATTCAACATCTGGTTTCTCCTAAGATCTGCATTCCCTCATCTGATACACACGGTAATGAAAATGTCTCAGCATTATTTAGCTTTAACAATAAAACCGCATAATTCAGTGAATTTCTTATAATGCTGCCTTAATGTGTCAAAATAGACAGTTTCTTCATCGTTGATTACAATAAAATTATGATACAACTTAATTTTAGTATGAGTCAGCAAGAAAAAAAAAATCTTAAAAAATATCGGGTGGGGGGCGCCTGGCTGGCTCAGTCGGTAGGGCATGTGACTCGATCTCAGGGTTGTAAGTTCAAGCCCCACGTTGGGCATGAAGCCTATTTTAAAAAAAAAACAGTGGCTTGTCTGAACTGAGATATATAGATGAAGCACACATGGGATTTCAAAGACTTAGAACAAATTAAAAGAATGTTATAAAAGGCGGGGGGTGGTGCCTGGCTGGCTCAGTCAGTAGAGCATGAGACTCCTGATCTCAGGGTTTTGGGGATGTTAAGTTCAAGCCCCACATTGGGTGTAGACATTACTTAAAAATAAAAAATCTTTAGGGGTGCCTGGCTGGCTCAATCAGTGGAGCATGCAACTCTTAATCTCAGGGCTATAAATTTAAGCCCCATGTTGGGTGTAGAGATTACTTAGAAAAAATAAAATCTTTAAAAAATAAAAATAAATTAAAAATCTTAAAAAAATATCAGGTCCCTCAAGTTCTGAAATTTTCTTTTAATATTCACTTTTCATGTAACATACAATACTGTTTTGTTTTGGGGTTTTTTTCATTCAATACGGTTTTAAATGCTTACCCTATTTAGCTCCTCCTCAATGGCACCAATTTTTTCAATCAATTCTACAATCTGTTCTTCTTGAACAGTTAGTTTTCCGCTCATGGCTCTAAAATAAAGTTTAATATGAGTTTAACAGTTAGTATTTTTTCCTAATTCCTTTAAAACTTATTCTAACAAAACTGTAGGAGTTACACATCACCTCTACCATTTATCACTTTGATAATGATGCCTAAATGTCAATAAGTAATGAATACAAATTATAAAAAACAAATGTATTCCTTGTTCTTGTTTTATAAATGGACTATTCTTCTTGTGACCTCCATTTTGAAACTGAGAATTCCTACCTATGAGGGGAAAAAAGCATGTGTACATATAAAATTTGAGAAGCTACCAAGCTGACAAAGGACTATAACTCACATACAGTAGAGACGGGGAAGGATAAACCTAAGTATCTGCAATCAGGAATATGGAGTATAAATAGGACCCACAGAATCCAGGAAAGGCTTGGGACTTAAAGGCATCAGGTGTCAGAGGAGGAAGGGGTGAGATAAAGGGCAAAAATGGGAGAAGTGAGTTAAAGTATATATACAAAGCAATTATACCTCCTACCCCCTGCACACATACCCCAATATGCACCCCAACACACACCACCACTGATGTTTTACTGAAGTTATGCAAGAGATAATGAATGGGGAAAACAAATGAAAAATACATGGGACCTCTCTGTATTTTTCTTGCAACTTCATGTGAATCTATAATTATTTAAAATTAAAGCCATATAAAAATTTTTAACTGATAACTACCTGTTAATGTCAAAAGAAAAAGAAGCATTTATAGGAAGCACTAGATATAAAGATTTTAGTTACTGTCACATAAGTAAATTTTACTTCAAACACCTTGTTATCAGGAAATGATTATTCTTGGAAATTAATTTCCGCAGCATCAAGGTCTTACCTAAAATTTTCTTCAGAAATGTACACCCCATTTTTCTCACGGGCTGCAGCAAGATCTCGTTTCAGACGCTCTATCTCTTCTGTATATTCCTACACAAGAAGAACATTGTAGGTGTCAATTTAGCATTTAACTTTTTTTTCATTCATTTTGGGGAGGATATTTAACAAATAAAACATGTACTTAGCCCTTTTATGTTTTTTAAAGCATGAAAAATAAAAGTCATAATCATACTTTTCATTCAATATTAATCTGTTTAGAATAGAGTCTTTCAATAGCTTAAATAAATTCTTTTAAAAAAAAGGGCCATATAAAGGAGATAAACTACAGACTAGGAGAAAATGACTGCAAACCACATTTGTGACAAAGGTCTAGTATCTGAAACATATTAAGAACTTTCAAACCACAATAATTTTTAAAAATCCAATTAGCAGGGAGCCTAGCTGGCTCAGTGGAGCATGCGATTCTTGATCTCCAGGTTGTGGGTTCAAGCCCCACGCTGGGTGTAGAGATTACTTAAAAATAAGGGGCGCCTGGGTGGCTCAGTTGGTTAAGCAGCTGCCTTCAGCTCAGGTCATGATCCTGGAGTCCCAGGATCAAGTCCTGCATCAGGCTTCCTGCTCAGCAGGGAGCCTGCTTCTCCCTCTGACCCTCGCACCTCTCATGTACTTTCTCTCTCTCTCATTCTCACTCTCTCAAAATAAAAATAAATAAATCTAAAAAAAATAAAAAATAAAATAAAATAAATTCTTTTTTTTTTTAAGAGGTGGGGGGCAGAGGGAGAGGGAGACAGAGATCTTAAGCAGGCTCCACACCCATCTTGGAGCCTGACTTGGAGCTCGATCTCATGACCCTGTGACTGAGGTCACGACCTGAGCCGAAATCAAGTCAGACGCCCAACCAACTGAGCCACCCAGGCAACTCCCCCCAATTTTTTTCAAAGATTTATTTATTTAAGAGAGAGACAGAGAGAGAGCACAGAGGGAGAGGGAGACAAGCAGACCTACGTGAGGCTTAATCCCAGGACCCTGAGATCATGACCTGAGCCAAAATCGAGAGTCAGATGCTTAACCACCTGGGCGACCCAGGCACCCTGAAATTTTTTTTAATAAAAACATTAAAAACCCAGTTAGAAAATGGGCCTAAAGACATGAAAAGACATTTCACCAAAGAGGATATGCAAATTGCAAATAAGCACATGAGGAGATGCTCAACACCATTAGCCATTAGAGAAATGCAAGTTAAAACTACAGTGAGATATTTAGCACCTATTATACTCATCATAATACCTAAAATAAAAAATAGTTACAACACCAAATGCTGGTGAATATGTAGAGTAACTAGATCACTCCTATATTGCTAGAGGGAATATAAAATGGTACAGCCACTCTGGGAAACAGCTTGGCAGTTCTTTAAAAAAACTAAATATTCAGTTACCATACCCAACAACTTACACGCTTGGGCAATTATTCCAGAAAAGTGAAAATTTATGTTTACACAGATACCTATAACCAAAATGTTCACAGCAGTTCTACTTGTAATTGTGAAAAACTGAAATCAGCCCAATGTCATTCAACAGGTAAATGGTTACACAAAGTATATGTATAATATATACATACCATGGACTCAAAAGGAAAGACCTATCAATGTGCGCAACTCAGGTGAACCTCCAGAAAATTCTGAGTAGTAGTGAAAAATGCAATCTCGAAAGTTTACATACTATATGATTCCATTCAATAACATTTTTGAAATGGCAAGAGCTTAGATATAGAGCACAGGTTAACAGGTATCCGAGATGAGGGAGGGGAAGTGAGAGTGGGAAGGAAGTGATTATAAAAAGGCAATATGAGGGACCCCTGAGGATGGAACTGCTCAGTATCTTAACTGTGGTGGTTGATGCACAAACCTACACATGACAAAATTGTATAGAACTAAATACACACACACATAAATGAGTACAAGGAGAACTGAGGAATAAGATGAATGGACTGTTATTAATGTCACTATCCCTGTGGTGATACTTGACTGTAGTTTAACAGAATGTGCTAAGGATCTTTCTGTATTATTTCTCTCAATTATCTCAATGAAAACTTCAATTAAAAAAAAAATAAACCACCAAAAAAGGAAGACAAGCCAGACTGGGAGGAAATATTTACAAATCATCTCATAAAGGTTTGTAGCTGAAAGATATGAACAACTCTTTATAACTTAATAATAAGGGACACCTGGGTGGCTCAGCCGGTTAAGCGTCTGCGTTTGGCTCAGGTCATGATCCCAGGGTCCTGGGATTGAGCCCCACATGAGGGATCCCTGCTCAGCGGGAAGCCTGCTTCTCCCTTTCCCTCTCCCCACACAGCTCGTGCTCTCTTTCTCACTCTCTATCTCAAATAAATAAATAAAATCTTAAAAAAAAAAAATAAGAATAACACCAACTAAAAACTGGGCAAAGAATTTGGACAGACTTTTCACAAAAGATACACAAATGGATAATAAGCATGTGAAAAGATGCTCATTATCATTATTCATTAGGGGAATGCTAATTAAAACCACACGGAGGGTACAATTACACACTTATTAGAATGGCTAACATTAAAAAGACAGACTATAACAAGTGTTGGAGAGGATGTGGAGAAACTGCAACCTTCACACATTCACTGCTGATGAAAATTTAAAGTGGTACAGCCACTTTGGAAAGCAGTTTCTTAAAGAGTTAAACATAAACTTATTGAGCAACACAGAAATTAAACTGCTAGGTATCTACCTAAGAAGACTGCAAATACATCAACACAAAGACTTATATGCTAATGTTCATAGCAGCATTACTGGAAATAATCCAAATGTCCATTGGCTGGTGAATGGATAAACATGTGTTATTATCCATTTAATGGAATACCATTTGGCAATAGAAAGAGTCTACTGATACATTGTACAACATAGATGAAGCCCCAATGTTATGCTAAATGAAAGTCAGATGCAAAAGATCAAATATTGCATGATTCCATTTAAGAAATGTCTGGAAAGGGCAAATCTACAGACAAAAAGTACATAGTGGCTGGCTGACTGTTTGCAAAGGGGAAAAGAGGAACTATATAGTGATAGAAATTTCCTAAGTAGATTATAGTGATATTGCACAGCTCTATAAATGTACTAAAAATCACTGCATTGTAGGCTTACAATGGAGGAGTGTTATGGAAATTATACCCTAATACCACATTAATGTATGGTGACTAAAGCTACAAATAAATAAATTTTGTAAATGTAAATAATTGCAAATTTTGCTGACTTGATAGAGCTGGTAAAGTCACCATATTAGCATTAGAAAAAACATTTTAAGGGAGCCTGGGTGGCTCAATTGGTTAAGCGACTGCCATCGGCTCAGGTCATGATCCTGGAGTCCTGGGATCGAGTCCCACATCGGGCTCCCTGCTCAGCAGGGAGTCTGCTTCTCCCTCTGACCCTCTTCCCTCTCGTGCTATCTCTCATTCTCTCTTTCTCGAATAAATAAAATCTTTAAAAAAAAATTTTAATATATTAGGTAATTAATTAAAATCATTAGATGGAAAGCCTTATATAAACAAATCTTTTAACAATTACCAAATTCACAATTACCTTAATAAGAGCTCTTTTGGTGAGTTTCTGGTTAACTTCAGGCTTATTTAGTATGTTCTTTGCTCTATGAGCATATTCCAATGTACTCAGAGTTTCCTGTGAAGAAAATGCCAATTACTAAAAGATATTATAAGAATAACATAGTTCTGTTATATAAAATGTACTATAAAATAACTTACAAGAAAAAAATAACTTACAAGAAATAATTTATGGTTATATCTAACCTAAAAATCTATCATCCACTAGGACCACTATACCCTAAGAATTTTTACTTCAGTCTTCACACTCAGTGAACCCCATCAGCTGATGAGTAAACAAAACATCCTATATCCATACAATGGAAAATTACCTACAAAAAGGAATGAAGCATGGATACATGCTAACCACATGGATGAACACTGAAAACATGCTAGGTGTAAGAAGCCAGGCACAAAAGAACACTTATTGCATAATTCCATTTACATGAACTGTCCAGACTAGGCAAATCTATAGATTAAAAAGGTAGGGGGCGCCTGGGTGGCTCAGTTGGTTAAGCGACTGCCTTTGGCTCAGGTCATGATCCTGGAGTCCCAGAATCGAGTCCCGCATCGGGCTCCCTGCTCAGCGGGGAGTCTGCTTCTCCCTCTGACCCTCTTCCCTCTCATGCTCTCTCTCATTCTCTCTCTCTCAAATAAATAAATAAAATCTTTAAACAAAAAAAGGTAGGGTGGGGCACCTGGGTGGCTCAGCTGGTTAAGCATCTGCCCTAGGCTCAGGTCATGATCTCAGGGTCCTGGGATCTAGCCTCACGTTGGGCTCTCTGCTCAGTGGGGAGTCTGCCGCTCCCTCTCCCTTTGTACCCTCCCTTCTCCCCCTCCCACCCCCCAGCTTGTGCATGCACTTTCTCTCAGATAAAGAAATAAAATCTTAAAAATAAAAAAAAAGAAAAATATTTTAAAGTAGGTTAGTAGTGACCTAGGGCTGGGAGTGGGGGCAAATGGAGAGTGATTCCTAATGGGTAACAAGGTTTCTTTCTGGGGTAATGAAAATGCTCCAAATAGACTTTAGTGATGGTTGCACAGCTTAGCAAATAATTAAAATCATCGAATTACATATTTTTAATGGGTGAATTTAATGGTATGTGAATTATATCTCAGTAAAGATGTTTTTTAAAATGAGAGTTAGAGCCCTTATAAAACCTTTTCTAACTCCATTTAAAGGAAACAATCATAAGAGATTTCACCATCTTTTTTGCTTCTCTTGGTTTTACCACCTGTTCTCACACATCCAACCCCATCTTCAGTGCCCTCTAAGAGCTTCTACAACACTAGCATTCACTTAACCCACTTTTAAGTCCTCACTTAAATCTCCGTAACCCGCCCCCCAATCAGGCTCCCTGTTCAGCAGGGAGTCTGCTTCTCGCTCTCCCTCTCCCCCTCCACCCCACTCGTTCTCTCAAATAAATAAAATCTTAAAAAAAAAAAAAAAAACTCCATACCCCATGTAACCATGCACTGCTAATGACCACAACAATTTCTTTTGAAGACTGTGTGGGAAAAACCATTAAGTAATTGGCTTTTTAAAATTAAAAACTCTGCCAGGAAGGAGAAAGACAATTTTTTCAGTGGTGTCCTCCTCTATGTCCATGTGCAATATCCAGATTCTTTTACTCTTGCTTAGAATGAATGAAGCCAATTAATGAACTTTTAAAATATGTGATAAAAAATAAAAATAAAAAAAGTAAAATAAAATATGTGATAGCTAAATAATAATTACACCTACTACACTTGCAGATACCTATTAAAGGGCTCACCTCAAGATTGAGAGATGCAGGAGAAATTGTTGCAATTATAGATGTTCTTGTACGTCCCCCAAGAGAATCCTGGAGGATTCTAGTTAGTTTAGATTCTCGATAAGGAACATGAGGTGTTCTTTCTACAAGAGCAGTAATAACCCTTCCCAAAGTCAAAAGGGATTGATTGATATTTCCAGCTTCCCGGGCTCTCTTGTCAACTGCTCCAGAACGGCCAATGTTCTCACTTCCCGCAAGATCAACCTTGAATTTCAAAAATAAAAGTAGGTTGTCAGTTCCACTGGATTTGGACACAAAGACTTTCATTCTCAAATATAATATATTAAATAGCTAGCAAAATAATTTTTTTATAATTAACAATCCACTACAAAACTAATTACCTAGTGACTTCAAAAATATTGTCTAGAAGTACAGAATTTCAAGCTGCTCTGAGGTGGTCAAGAATGAAACAGTTGAGGGGGCCTGAGTGGTTCAGTCCATTAAGCATTCAACTCTTAATTTTGGCTCAGGTCATGATCTCAGGGTCATGAGATCAAGCCCCATGATGGGCTCCTCGCTCAGCCAGGATTCTGCTTGAGATTCTCTCTCCCTCTCTCTGCCCCTCTCTCCCCTCTAAAATAAATAAATCTTAAAAATATATAAAAGATTCTCTCTTTCCCTCTCCCTCTGCCCCCGCAACCTCTCTCTCCCTCTCAAAAAAAAAAAAAAAAAGAATGAAACAGTTGAAAAGAACTACCATATGATCCAACAATCCCACTTCTAGGTATATTATCCCAGGGAAATGAAATCAGTATCTCAAAGAGATATCTGCACTCCCATGTTCAATGCATTATTCACAATAGCAAAGATATGGAAACTGTGTCAGCTAATGAATGAAGAAGAAATGGGGGTGCCTGGGTGGCTCAGTCGTTAAGCGTCTGCCTTTGGCTCAGGTCATGATCCCAGGGTCCTAGGATCGAGCCCCGCATTGGGCTCCCTGCTCTGCGGGAGGCCTGCTTCTCCCTCTCCCGCTCCCCCTGCTTGTGTTCCCTCTCTCGCTGTGTCTCTCTCTGCAAATAAATAAATAAAATTAAAAAAAAAAAAATATAGAGAAGATATGGTATACATATACAATGGAATATATTTATTTAGCCATAAGAAAGAAGGAAATCCTGCCATTTGTAACAACATGGATGAACCTAGAGGATGTAATGCAAAGTGAAATAAGCCAGACAGAGAAGGACAAATACTATATGATCTCTCTTATGTGTAGAATTGAGGAGGAGGGCGGGGAGAAGGAAAGTTCACTGAAATGGAGAGAATGAGTTACCAGGAGCAGGGGAATGGGGGAGAAGCAGATGCTGGTCAAAGCGTATAAGCCTTCAGTTACAAGATGAATAAACTCTGGGGATCTAATGTACACTATGGTGACGACAGTTAATAATACTATACTGAAATTTGCTAAAAGTAGACCTAAACATTCTTACAGCACCCCCCTCAAAAGTAACTATGTGAGGTGAAGGATATGTTAATTAACCTGATTATGGTTAAAACCTCATTTCTCAAAGTGAACATATATCAAATCATCACATTGTATACTTTAAATATATAATTTTGTCAATTATACCTCAATAACGCTGGAGGGAAAAAAAAAGAATGAAACTAGTATTAAGGTAGATACTTACCAAGTTCAACTTTCCAATTTTAACAAGCTCCTCTCCATCAATTGTAGTTTCTTTCATATGTATTGTAACAGAGAAAACTGAGTGGGAACGACTAGAAAACAAGATCAGGTTGTCCAGTCACTATAATGTAAAACATTATTTGCTTTCTATAAAATATTAAATATTAAATAATAATATTTAATTAATAAATAATTAATAAATATTAAAAAGAGCAAAGAAAGATCAAACTCCACAAGGCAGAGAAAGATAATATCAGACAGGAGACATTAATAAGATTTTGGAAGACAGAGGGTAGACAGAACAACGCTTAGGTTTTTGCTTTCTTGTACTTGCTGCCTGCAAAGGGGACCCCAGTAAGAAACTACCTGTAAACACCCTAAAAGACATAGGAACTAGAATCCTCAAGACCTCTAAAAGCTGGACGTGGGGTCGGTTTGGGACAGTTGCCTGGTATGTCAGAGGAGAAGGCTTGCAATCAATCTTCTTATTTATAAGAATCTCTTGAAATATGTCATTACCATAAATTCAAACAGTACCACACAAGTCATCAGATTACTTGCTTTCAATGTCAATTGTTGTAAAAATATATTGCTCTGCTTTGAGAATGTCATCAGAAATAGTTAATACCCTCTCTTGAAAAGCAAATGGTAAATAGCAATGATTACCGAAATACTACAAGATAATCACCACTAGACCATAAAGTGTTCCAATGTCTATCTTATGTTAGATACTGACATTCAGTTTTTATCTGAGGGATACAAGTTATATCGACAACCAAAGACCTCTTTTATTCCTCTATCAATGACATTTGGTGAACATCCCTATGTTTGTTAATGTCATTGATGATTAGTTGAGGAATATGATAATTTTTAATTTTCTTATTTGCACTTTTCATGTTACTTGGAAAGTTTTACAGTAAGGATCATATTTTATTTATTATTTAAAATTACAGAAAAGGGGAAGGGCACAGGAAAAATATAAAGAAACTATAAATCTGAATTCAATATATATTTCATATTTTTCTACCATTATTTACCCATTTCTAATCCAAGATTATGGAATTAATGCAATTAAGCATAGAAGTCAACTATGATTTTGGAAAATTTAATGTTTTCCTTCACTTTACCACATACATTCATAGAGACCTTTACTCAAGTGTACATATAAAAAAATGAGTCCTAGGGGTGCCTGGGTGGCTCAATTGGCTAAGCATCTGCCTTCAGCTCAGGTTGTGATCCCAAAGTCCTAGGATCAATCAAGTCCAGAGTCGGGCTCCTTGCTCAGCAGGGAGTCTGCTTCTCCCTCTGCCCCCCCGCCCCCCCCGCCCCCACTCATGCTCTCCCTCTGTCTGAAATAAAATCTTAAAAAAAAAAAAGAGTCCTAAATTATACAAATTTATGAAAAAGCAGGAATTTATTTAAAAGAAAAGTATTTAAGGAAATATTACTTAGTCTTAAACTTCTTCCTCCAATATAATTTTTAAATGGAAAGCTATTATAGGAAAATTTAATTAAAATCATAAAAATCACCCATAATGTCATGATTTTCATTACTTTCATCTTATTTTTCTTCTTTAAATGTATATGTAATTTTTTATAGAGATGCAGAAATTTCCAGTTATAAGGGAGCAAAGAAATAAGAGATCTAATTTTTTTTTTAGGTTTTTATTTAAGTAACCTCTACACCCAACATGGGGCTCAAACTCATGACCCCAAGATCAAGAGTTGCACGCTTTTCTGACTGAGCCAGCCAAGCACCCTGAGATCTATTTCCAATAATTATTTTGTAGGTCAGAGAAACTGATATTCAGCTAAATTCACTTATTTCCTTAAGTCACGTGTTTGGTTAACTCCAGACCTAGAACTAAACACAAATATCTAACTCCCACTCCATAGCTCTTTTAATTACACTCTGATGCTTCCTTCAAAGACCGGCAGAAAAAATATCCACCTGACTTGGTAAACTGCTTTTCTAGAATTTGGGATTCATTCTATAGGGGGTGCTATCAGCTATGCCCCTTTCTACCCTGGAAAGCCAGTGTTAGTGACCATGTCTTCTTATATTAAAATGAAGCCATATGAGAAAAGTTTAAATCATGTTGTACAACCTAAATATATGTAATTTTTGTCAATCATACTGCAATAAAGCTGGAGAAAAAAATCAAATGAAGCTATCTGACTTTCTTCTAATCCTTATTTAAACCATGGGCTTTCAAACTTTGTTCTAGGTATCCATAGGCACCCCAAAAAAGTGCTCAGAGAAAACCTTCATGAGGCTGAGGAGGTAAGCCTCTGAGCATCCCACCCTCAAATCGACTACAACAGGCACATGTTAATCTAGGCTCCCGTGTACAATTTCATTTGAGAAAAAATAATCTACTTAAAAAAGTTTAATACTTCTTCTCTAATTCAACTTGTCTTTGTTCCCTTTTCAACATTTTTCCAATACTGGTGCTTGCCTCTAAATCTCAAGCCAATTACTAAAGCATGCAATCAGGCATACATACATCTAGTATGTGACTCACATACTTTGACCCACCCCAATTTGACTTCCCATGTTAAAAAGAAAATGGAGGGGCGCCTGGGTGGCTGAGTCATTAAGTGTCTGCCTTCGGCTGAGGTCATGGTCCCAGGGTCCTGGGTTCGAGCCCCGCATCAGGCTCCCTGCTCGGCCAGAGGCCTGCTTCTCCCTCTCCCACTCCCCCTGCTTGTGTTCCCTCTCTCGCTGTGCCTCTCTCTGTCAAATAAATAAATAAAATCTTTAAAAATAAATAAATAATAAAAAGGAAAAAAAGAAAATGGAGCAGTGCGGGGAGGACACTGGCTTTCTTACCTGGAGTATGCATTCATCAGAGTTGCTGCAGTTGTCCGTTTTGCTGCCCCCTTCTCCAAAATCTGATAGACTTCATCCTTGTTGTGTACTGTAATTTCTTCTAAACCTTTGATTATCACTCCCCTCTGACCAATATCAAAAGATCATCCATTAGACTGACAAAAAATATATATATACTGACTTCTCAAAGCATCACACATTAAAATCCAAAGACATTTCATTCTCAAAGACTGAGTTACCTTGTTACGGGGATCATCAAACATCTGAAGTCTCTCAGAAACATCAGAAGATGGGTTAAGGAGATCAAAAAGTTCTTCATTATAGATTTCCAACAGAGACACTTTGACTGAAAATTCAGTACCATTATCAGTAAGTTTCTCAAAAATTTGATGAAGAGTACGTGGAATTATACCAGCCAAGGGATCCTGAAATTATAATATTAATAAGGACTAAAATAAGGGAAGAATGCCATTTACTATGGCAGTTAAAACGCATATAATATGGGCCTCCTTTATGATATATTTGAACACAAATATGAGGGGCACCTGGGTGGCTCAGTTTCGACAATATTCTACTCCAACTATTCTGTCTCAAACAGACCCCTCTCTTATCACTTAACTGTGCCATATGTATTGGTCCTTTCTCTCCTAATGACGCTATGTTTCTTAAACAGGAACTACACCATATACTTTAATTTTACTAAAATAGTAGTTTATCCTACAATCATGTTTGACACGGGTATACTGATCTTCTCTATTTCAAGAAAGAGGCCTTCAACCAAGTTTTCTATTCAGTTATATTTCAGTCACTTTAGAGACAGAAATCTATTATAAACAATAAATACCTCCTCCCAAGTGTACTCTTCATTAGGTGACCTCTCACCTTCCATTGTAAAGGTTTTTCCAGTGCCAGTTTGGCCATATCTGTCAAAATTAACAAAAGTGTTAATTAGAAAACAAATACATACATCTAAACCTTTTCAGCAATTTGAAAAATAGTGTTTTACTCACGCAAAAATAGTGCAATTATAACCCATAATAACTTCATCCAGAATTGGACAAACAACACTTCGGTAAACATCAATTTGTTTAGTAGAAGCTCCAAAAACCTATCAAAATCAAAGCAATTCTTCAGGAAAAAAAAAAAATACTCCAAAATTACTCACTTTAAGAATTTTGTTTTTAGGGGCGCCTGGGTGGCTCAGTTGGTTAAGCGACTGCCTTTGGCTCAGGTCATGATCCTGGAGTCCTGCTTTGGGCTCCCTGCTCAACGAGGAGCCTGCTTCTCCCTCTAACCCTCCCCCCTCTCATGTACTCTCTCTCTCTCTCATTCTTGCTCTCTCAAATAAATAAATAAATCTTTAAAAAAAAAAAAAAAGAATTTTGTTTTTAGGGCGACTGGGTGGCTCAGTCGTTAAGTGTCTGCCTTCGACTCAGGTCATGATCCCAGGGTCCTGGGATCGAGCCCCGCATCAGGCTCCCCGCTCCATGAAGAGCCTGCTTCTCCCACTCCCACTCCCCCTGCTTGTGTTCCCTCTCTTGCTGTCTCTCTCTGTGTGAAATAAATAAATAAAATCTTAAAAAAAAAATTGTTTTTAGGGGTACCTGGGTGGCTCAGTTGGTTAGGCGACTGCCTTTGGCTCAGGTCATGATCCTAGAATCCCAGGATCAAGTCCCACATTGGGCTCCCTGCTCAGCAGGGAGTCTGCTTCTCCCTCTGACCCTCTTCCCTCTCATGCTGTCTATCATTCTCTCTCTCTCTCAATAAATAAATAAAAATCTTTAAAAAAAAAATTTTGTTTTTAATATATTAACTCATTCAGCCCACTAGAAACCATATGACAACTCAAAGAGTCAACTGAAACTTGGAATTGTACACTAGAACCTAAAGGAAATGTGTATCCAAGAATAACTTTACATAGTAAATAATAAAGGAGTAGTAGCATTTTAAGAAATAGGTACCAGGGGCACCTGGGTGGCTCAGCCAGCTGGGCATCTGACTCTTGATTTTGGCTTACATTGTGATCTCGGGGTGGTGAGATCGAGCCCCATGTTGGGCTCTGCACTCAGCATGAGTCTGCTTGTTCCTCTCTCTCTGCTCCTACCCCACTCCCGCACATGCTATTAAATACATAAAATCTTAAAAAAAAAAAAAAGAAAAATAGGTACCATATCAAAAGTATATGTTTTCCTTGAGCTCTTGTCAGCCAATCCTCCAGTTCGTACACTAACTTCTTTTCGTACATGATCACAATCTACTACAGAATGGGCATTAGCTTTCCGTTCTGCCAAATTAAATGGTCTATAAAAAGAAATGTACAAAGTTATTTAAAAAACTCTTAGTTATCAGGTTATAGATGACATTGTCATTAATACCTTAGATAATAAGGTGAAGTTTTTTGACAACACTATTGGTGACAAGGATTAAATGGGGGACTAAATGATGCTGCTAAAGCAGAATTTTTAGTTTCTACTCCCAGAAATAAAAAATAGGTTTTTTACTTTTCAAAGACATGTAAAACATGACAATTCTGACAGCTTCTTGGAGTAGATGTTAACAGAATTGTAAAAAAATGCCAAACTTATTTTTCAGATTTCTATTTCCACTATTCTTAAGAGTCTGAGAAAGTGAGGTTAATGACGCAGCAGAAAGAACATGCCAAATTTGTGTTCAAAATACTAACCTGTCAGTGGATAACTGGCACAAGATAAAAAACAGATAAAAATAATGACTAATACATTGAGTATTTACTATATGCCAGGTACTCACTATTCAAAATGCTTCACATGTGTTAACTCAGTTTGTCCTAGTGGGGAATAGGAACATAAAACAAATGATTATAAGAGAAGTAATGTTTAGAAAGGGTATGTAAAGGGTGCTGTAGGAATATATAGCAAAAATTTAATTGATTGGGACAGGGAGGGGTGGGGGGAAGCATGGGTGATGGGAAAGACTCCCAAAGGAAGTAATCTTCCAAGCTAAATTCCTTCTTGGGCTTTCCGTAGAGTGAGGACTCTTGATCCAGTCTGCTTGGGCAATGTAGCCCTGTGTGCATACTTCCCCATTTGAAAAATGGGGCTAAGTAATAGCACCAACCTCACAATGCAGGAAAAGAAATCCTGCTTAGGGGCACCTGGGTGGCTCAGTGGGTTAGCATCTGACTCTTGATTTCTGCTCAGGTCATGATCTCAGGATCGTGGGACTGAGCCCTGTGCTGGCTCTGTGCTGGGCATGGAGCCTGTTTGGGATTCTCTCTCCCTCTGCCTCCCCATACCCTTACTTGCTCACACATGTGCCCCCTCTCTCTCAAAAAAAAGAAAAGATATCCTATTTAGTTTACAGTTTCCCAGTGGCTCCTACTCTGCTTGGCACATAGGAGGCATCCTAATATCTGTTAAACTACATACTTAATAAATGTCATCCTAAGAGGAATGATGGAAGAGCTGAAAAGAACCATAGTCCACAAAGTGGCATCATTAAGATATGCATATACTTAACACACATCTGGGCCAAAGAGAGAAATGTACTCTTGACCTGAATTCATTTTTCCCATTCAGTATCACCTTTTATGAAAGGAAATGGCAAATGGGAAATTATCTTTCTCCTCATCACTAGACAAACCAAGTTGCTATTTATTTTAAAAATGATTACCTCAACATCCTCTGGCATGCCCCATCCCTAGTATATTTTTGACAGTCAGAAAACCAAATTTGTAATCCTGGGAAATTTAACTCACCAACTTCCTGGTAATATATAATAATGCTATCGATTGTCAAATGTAGTGAAACCTACAGAATGCACATAACCCATGACATGCAATATTATTAAAAGTTCAACAAACCTAAGTCAAAACCAACTTATACTGAGGTAGGCCAAGAGTATCAAGTACAATGAATTGCTCTCATGTGGTTAAAGCTTTTTCAATTAGGCTATCATTCTTAGCATCTCTCAACTAATCTCCTTGCCTGGATGTGTGATGATGTTAACCAAATGAATACCATTCAAGATGTCACAACCAAATAGTAGATAATCACAAAGATTACACATTTCTAAGTTATCAAAACTTCCCACTGAAGAGCTTTAAGGACTGTTTGTACTATAATAAAAAGTATTGCAAAGCCACTATATTCCTAACCAAACTTCTCTAATTAGAAATTATAAGGTTCCTGTTAATGATGTTAACAAACCCATCGATTTGTTGGCCTCACTACAGTTACATTACATTCATTTATTCATTCCATAAATATTCATCTAGTACTTATTATGTGGTAGATATTTGTTTAGGAACTGAGGATATACCAGTGAACAAAACCAAGTTTCAAAAAAAACCCAAAACACCCAAATTCCTATTCTCAGGGAGCTTTTATCCTAGTGTTATAAATAGATATCTCAAAGTAAATAAAACAGATGAAGTGGGATTGGAATTAATGATGGGGGAAAATGGGCAGTTGCTATTACTATTTTAGGGTGGTCAGGGAAGGCGTCTCTTCTCTGATATTTAATGATATTTAAGCAGAATCTAAAAAGTGAGGGAACCAGTCATGTAGCTATTTTGATGGGAAAGCTTTCTAGACAGTGAAATTGCAAAGGCCCTGAGGTAGAGCCTGGTAGATGGGGGAGGGGGGGTGGGGGGCGGTGCCCACAGGGGAGTTAAGTAGTGTAATAAAGACAGCCAGTAGTTAGATCAAGTGAGTGGTCTATAACCTTCAATCTGTGGGCCAAACCTGGCCCTTTTCATACCAGAGACCTAGAATGATTTTTACAATTTTAAAGGGTTGTTTAATAAAAAAATCAGATGCTGCAGTGCTAGCAGTTCTTTAGCAGATTCATTCCACCACTGAAAACCTGAAAACGGACCATACAGTCTTACTGATTTCAGGTAAAAGATGTCCAGCAAAACAGCAAGCACCAACAAACATAGCCCAGGCAAGAATTGTGCAGCAGTTGAGATCAGAAGCCTCCATAAAAGAACAAAGGTTTGGGCACGCCTGGGTGGCTCAGATGGTTAAACGTCTGCCTTCCGCTCAGGTCCTGATCCCAGGATCGAGCCCCCGCATAGGGCTCCCTGCTCCGCGGGGTGTCTGCTTCTCCCCCTCCTTCCTGCTCAAGCTCTCTCTCACTCTCAAATAAATAAATAAAATATCAAAAAAAAAAAAAAAGAACCAAGGTTTCAATGGCATCATCGGACCTTATGTTCTACTGTGAGGAGCATGCCAGGAGTGACTCTTTGCTGACAGGGATACCAACTTCAGAAAATCTTCTCAAGGATAAATCTGCATCATCTTAAAGTGAAAGAATGAAACAGTTCTGTGTCTCTTCCTAACAAAGCTAATTACAAGCAGCTCCTTAAAGAGATCGACCTTCAGCTTATTTGGTAACCACTGCTAATAACTAAAACGCTCTGAACTTGGAATAATGAACTCTGAAGTCTTCATTTTCCAAGTTGTCCTTTCTCTAAAATATCCTTTGCTGATTTAATACAGAATTAACAGTCTTGTTCTCCGTTTGGTAACTATAGCATCACATTGGGTTACTGTTTAAGGAAAGATGGTCTGGGCCTTTTTAAAAAAAAAAACAATTAGGGGCGCCTGGGTGGCTCAGATGGTTGGGCATCTGCCTTTGGCTCAGGTCATGATCCCTGGGTCCTGGGATGGAGCCCTGCATGGGGTTCCTTGCTAGTGGGGAGTCTGCTTCTTCCTCTCCCTCTGTCTTTCCCCCTGCTCGTGCTCTCTCTCTCCCTCTCTTTCTGTCTCAAATTAATAAATAAAAATCTTTAAAAAAAATAAAAAACACAAGTATACGCTTTTAAAATATATGAATGATTCACAAAAGTTCAGATCTAAATTGCTAAAGCACTTGTCTAGATTCAAATGCCAAAATTAACTTAAATCCTAAAAGCTTTATATTATGTTCTTTTTTTTTTAAGATTTTATTTATTTATTTGAGAGAGACAGAATGAGAGAGAGAGAGCACAAGAGAGAAGAGGATCAGAGGGAGAAGCAGACTCCCTGCTGAGCAGGGAGCCCGATGCGGGACTCAATCCCGGGACTCCAGGATCATGACCTGAGCCGAAGGCAGTCGCCCAACCAACTGAGCCACCCAGGCGCCCCCTTTATATTATGTTCTTAATAGGACTTATGCTAACCTGTACACTTATACAAGGGGGAGGAATGTTTTGTATATATGTGTCTTTGTATATACATATAACAAAGCCTATTTCCTTATTAAAACTTCTCTCTATAAAAACTATCAGTTCCTCAATTCCAGAAGTTATACCTTTCTCTTGAGCTGTGTATAGGTAGAATAAAAAATTCTCTTCATATAGTGATAATACTAGTAAAGAACATAATAAAGATTGTATTCATTGTAATTAAGTAATAAAGTCATCTCTCTCTTGAAATCTTGCTGACCTCTTAGGTTACAATAAACTGTGTCAATTAAAAATGTAAAATTAAAAAAAAATCAGAGAATATGTGACAGAGACTACATGTAGCTTGCAAAGCCTAAAATACTTTAAAATTTTTACTATGTGAGCCCTTTACAGAAAAGGTTTGACAACCTTGAGGGCCTCATAAATTGTTTATTTATTAAAGCTTAAGGACATATTTGCCCTAGGAAAGATATTTGAAAAAGAAAAGCATGAAAAGAAAAACATCTCTTTATACAAAATTATTGTAAATAATTAGACGCAACCTAAGCACTTTTCATGAATGACAAAGTAAAAGAAATCTCTTTTTAGGTAAGACTTGAAATGTATGGGGATAATAAACATCATAATGTTTAATTCTTGGGGAGAGGAAGGGGACTGGAGAGGGATACAATGGGGTTCCAATTGTAATGACTGTTTTGTTTCTAATTTAGGTGATGGATACACAGATGTTTGCTACTTTGTTCTCTATAACTTTTTATAGGTCTGACATATTTTGTAACTAACAATAAAAAAGAAAATTAAAGAAAATAAAACCATCCAGAAAAAGCAGTATTGTCTAGCCTTATTAAACGATCAAAATAATCTAAAACTTTGCGTCTGTGGGGGCCTTGCTGGCTCAGTAGGTAGAGTATGCAACTCTTATCTCTGGGTTGTGAATTCGAGCCTCACACTGGGTGTAGAGATTGCCTAAAAATAAAATCTTTAAAAAATAAAAATTTGCGTTTGTATTACAGGCTTTTTTTTTCAATCTTCAAAACAAGTAACTGTTAACTGAAGCTCTAGAGTACAACTAGTAAGTGGTCGAACTTAAGGTTACCATCAAATTTCCTCTCTGACACCTAGTTCAGAAATCTAGCTATTATCTTTGACATCTACAATTCAAGTCACCAAAGCTGAGGAGGCAATAATTTAAGACAGTTTCTTCACACATTTTAAAAATAACCCCTTTTTAAAAATTTTAGAACTTTTGGATTTACAGAAAAGTTGCTGATGGTTGGTAGAATGTTTAAAACAACAGCAACAAAAACAGACACACAAAACACATAGACCAGTAAACGGTGGAGGGCTTCTAAAAAGCTGAATAAATCAATCTCTAATTAAGCAACAGTTTGTATAACGAGTATGTTCTTCCTCTACTAATTTTAAAATTGGGGAGTTATTTGGAAATCAATCTGGGGAGAGCTGAACACCTCCACCCCACTCACCCCGAAGAAACTCTCTCCCTTGGTTAAGACCAAGTTGCAGTACAATCAGAAAGCTATACTGGCTTAAGTTGTCTCCTTTTAAAAACATAAACTCACTCTATAAGCTAATCTTTAAAATTTAAATACAATGATGTTTCCTTGTTTGGTAGGGATTAAGAAAACATTGCATCTAGAAGAAAGAGAACAATTGATCGATTATGCTTTTAGAAATGACGGAGGACGGTAATCCCAACATCAGTACTAAAACACCTGCAAAGTAGGTATGCAGTCTTATTTCCAAACTGAGAAAATGCAAGGAGTGGCATATACAAGTGCCACCTAAATCTTTTCCAACATTAGTTGTTTAAAAGAACATACTTTTCCCTGAAGACCCGCGATCAAACTCTCCTTCTGAATAGCAGTTTAAAATACAACCTCCTATACAAATACCCTTTCTTCGGAAACAGGCACTAACTTACTCCTCACAGCAATCTGGTGTCATTTTTATCGACCGAATGCGGAGAACTGCGAAACAGGAAGGTTTGCTCCCCGCAGAAACTGCAAACAAAATTCCTCTCCGGACAACACAGGAGGGAGCCCAGCAGCAAAGCCCCGCACTCCCCATCCTGCCGGGTTCACCCTACCTGCATCTCACCACCACCTGGATGTTCTTTCCCTTCTCCTCTTTCTTCTTCGCGGAAGAATTCGGCTGGGACGCCATGACGATCCCCGCGCGAAGGTCAAGGCCTTGCTGTGGACTCGGGAGCTGTGGGGCGCGGAGGGGCCCTGCGGTCGGCGCGGCCCGGGTGTCCACCTCCCCCGCCGGGTACTGGCGTGGCCGGGGAAAGCCACGCGAGCAGCTCGACGTCTCCGCTCTCCACCAGGGGCTCTGACTGACCGAGGCGTCTGTCCCGCACTAGCGGGACCCTCGGAATCACCAATACCGTCTCCGCCCGAAGCCTCGGAAACAGAGCAACGACTCGGCGCCTCAATTTGAAAAAGGAGCCGAGACGCCGAGCCAATAGCAGCGCCCTGGGCGCGCGGGGCACCATGGGACGCGGCGTCGTCACCAGGGCACCCGCCCTCGGGGCGTGGCCCGCGGGAAAGTAAAAAGCTGGTCTGTCCTTCCTCTCTTGGAACTCTCAGTCCGATGGGGAGACGCGTGAGTAAACACTGTGACTCTTCAACGTGACCTTGCCCAAGTTACATAACGTCTGTAAACCAAGATTTCCTCATCTTCAAAATGGAAATAATAGCAACCATCTCAGAGGGTTCGGTGAGAATTGAGCTAGCGCGGGCAAATAGCTTAGACTAGAACATGTAGTGTCAGGAAAGCTGGCCATGATTATAATTATTAGCGGATCGTACGACAGTATTATGGAAGCACAGAGGAGAGAGGTCCAAAGCGAGCCCCTTTCTCGGAGGCAGCGTCCAGAATAGCCTTGAGTAACTAGGAAGTGTTAAGAAATAAGGTTACCACGAGTACCAAATCGCGATGAAAGGGATGTTAAATGTCACTTTTAGGACTCTGAATTTATCCTTTAACTGATGAGAAGATGTCACCGTTAAATGATTCCAAGCAAAAGGCAGTACCGCCCTTGCCTTTTCGGATTACCATTCCGGAACGACAGACGCAGGCTCAGGACGCGCTTCGCTCCCTCTACGTGGCGCCGCATCCCCCCTCCCCCGGGGCGTAACAAGGAGCTTGAGCCAGCGTCTGCAGCCGTCAGCCTACAAATCCCAGCAGGCACCGCTCCCTGGGCCCCGCCCCCGCTGGGTAACCTCCGGCTTTCCGTAGACGTCCTGCGAGCGTCCCGGCGCTGTTTGGGGTGACTGGACAGCTTCAGGTGTAGGACCTGGGCCCAGGAAATACTGAATCATAGGCCTATGCCGTAGTCGGCTCAAGGAGCTGAGCTTCTGGGTCACACTTAGCCCACAGGAACCTAGGTATCATTTTATTTTTTTAAGGGCCAGATGGAATGGGAAACTCTCAGGCGCCTTTTGTGTTCCTCTACGTATTAACCTCCTGCATTCCCCCAAGGAGACATCCCAGTATACAGCTCGGATAGCTGGGTGTCAACTGTTATCTATGATGGCTCACCAGCATCTCAAAGTGGACCTGTACAAAACGAAACTCTTTATCCCCCTTACCACCACCCTAATCCTCATCTGGACCCATGGCACCAACCAGACCTTTGATTCCTTCGTCCTCAACCACATCCAGTACACTACTGTTGGTTTTACTGCCTCTGCCATCACTCTAGGCCAAGTCTCTCTCTCTCTCTCTCTCTTTTAATTTAAATTCAATTAATTTCAGAGGTTGAGCTCAGTGATCCATCAGTCTTAAATAATACCCAGTGCTCATTACATCACATGCCTTCTGGTCCATCACCCAGTTACCCCATTCCCCCCCAACCTCCCTCCCCTTCAGCACACCTCCAATTTGTTTCCTATGATAAAGAGTCTCTTATGGTTTGTCTCCCTCTGTGATTTCCTCTTGTTTTATTTTTCCTTCCCTTTTCCAATAATCCTCTGTTTTGTTTCTTAAATTCCGCATGAGTGAGATCCTATGGTATTTGTCTTTCTCTGATTGACTTACTTGGCTTAGCATAATACCCTGTAGTTCATCTGTGTCATTGCAAATGGCAAGATTTCGTATTTTTTTGATGGCTGAGTAGTATTCTACTGTGTGGTGTGTGTGTGTGTGTGTGTGTGTGTATACCACATCTTCTTTATCCATTCATCTGTTGATGGACATCTGAGCTCTTTCCATAGTTTGGCTATTGTGGACGTGGCTGCTATAATAAACATTGGGGTACAGGTGCCCCTTTGGATCACTACATTTGTATCTTTGGGGTAAGTACCCAGTAGTGCAATGGCTGGGTCGTAGGGTAGGTCTCTTTTCAACTTTTTTTTTTTAAGATTTTATTTATTTATTTGACAGATAGCGAGAGCAGGAACACGAGCGGGGGGGGGGGAGAGAGAAGCAGGCTTCCTGCTGAGCAGGGAGCCCGATGCGGGTCTCGATCCCAGGACCCTGGGATCATGACCTGAGCCGAAGGCAGATGCTTAACGACTGAGCCACCCAGGCACCCCTCTTTTCAAATTTTTGAGGAGCCTTCATTCTGTTTTCCAGAGTGGCTGCACCAGTTTGCACTCCCACCAACAGTGTAAGAGTGTTCCCCTTTCTCTGAACCCTCACAACATCTGTCATTTCTTGTGTTGTTGATTTTAGCCATACTGACCCGTGGGAGGGTGTATCTCATTGTGGTTTTGATTCATATTTCCCTGATGCTGAGTGATGTTGAGCATTATTTTATGTGTCTGTTGGCCATCTGTATGTCTTCTTTGGAGAAATGTCTGTTTATGTCTTCTGCCCATGTCTTGATTGGATTATTTGTTCTTTGGGTGTTGAGTTTGGTAAGTTCTTTATAGATTTCGGATACTAGCCCTTTATCTGATAAGACATTTGCAAATATCCTTTCCCATTCTGTCAATTGTAGGCCAAGTCTCTATCTCTTCTCTGAAACACTGTCCTTAACAAGTCTTCCTACATCTGCTCTTTTCTCCTCTCCCCACTACATTCACTCAGCAAAGGGAAGGATCCTTTAAAAGAATCAGACCATGCCCTTCATTTACTTTTTAACCTCACAATAGCTTCTCATTGAACTTTGAATAAAATCCAAACTCCTGACCATGTCCTGTGAGGCCTTCATTATACCGCCTTTGCCTATACCAACATCAACTCCAGCTACTAACCCCATAGCTCACTACCATGCTCCAGAGCTTCTAAGTGCTCTCTTGTAGCCAGGCCTTTGCAATTGCTGTACCCTCTGCCTGTATCTCTTTTAGTTTGGTTCTTTGCATGACCTACTCATTCTTATCCTTCAGATCTCAGCTCCACTTTCTCTTTTAAAAGGCTTTTCCTGGCCACCCTATCTAAAGTATATTACTCCTGTTTCAAGACTCTGTTTATTTCCTTCATAACACATATTACAGTCTGTGATTACATTGTCAATGTATTGTCTCTCTACTCTGCTAGAATGTAAATTTCATCAGGGACTGTGGATTGTCTTATTCAGTGTTGTTTTCTTGGTGTTCTTTTTTTTTTTTTTTTTGAGAGAGAGAGAATGAGAGATAAAGAGCACGAGAGGGAAGAAGGTTAGAGGGAGAAGCAGACTCCCTGCTGAGCAGGGAGCCCGATGTGGGACTCCATCCCGGGACTCCAGGATCATGACCTGAGCCGAAGGCAGTCACTTAACCAACTGAGCCACCCAAGCGCCCCTTCTTGGTGTTCTTTAACACAGCCTTACACAAAGTAGTCACTCAATAAATATATGAGGGCTGGAAGGAAATTACTTAATCTCTCTCTACTTTGTGGTTTCCTTATCTGTAAAATGGAGATAATAATGATTACTATTATTGTGAAAATTAAAATAATAATGTGTATAAAGTGGCTAGTACATGGTAGACCAAAAAAAAAAAAAGCTAATTTCTTCTTTTTTTCTCAGGAAATACCTAAACAATGTTTATATTAACAGTCATTTGGGTCAATGTAAGAAATTCCAGGGTCTCCATTTGGTAATAGTTATAGCTTCCATTTATCTAGAGCTACAATGTGCCAGACTCTATGAAAGGTTTTGTATGAGTGATCTCATTTAATCTTCAGAACAATTCTCTGAAGTAGGAACTATTATTTCTCACTATTTTATCAATACGTAGGTCAAGTAAGTTTATTGTCTGTACTTATACAGGTAATAAGTGACAGAGAAGGAACTCAAAATCCTTTCTGATTCCAAATCACAGGTCGTTCATTAACTGCTATCTCCCCCACCTATCTTTTCTTGTTCTCAGTGCACATGCATTCACTTTCATCCCACCCTTGTTGGGTGCTTGACTATGGTCCAGGCAGTGAAAAGATAGGTTGTATTATAGTTCCTGCCCTCAAGACTAAGTCTAATGGAGACAGCCAGGGTCTAATGGACATTTGTAAGAATTTTGTTACACCACACAGGTGGCTCTCTCTGATATGGTATTTTGTACTGCCCCAGTAGAGCCCAAACTACTCAAGCTAATCAGCACTTCTCTCTTGAAAGTCTACCTATGATTAGAAAATAATTTTAATAGGGGCGCCTGGGTGGCTCAGTTGTTAAGCGTCTGCCTTCAGCTCGGGTTGTGATCCCAGGGTCCTAGGATCGAGCCCCACATGGGGATCCCTGCTCCGCGGGAGGCCTGCTTCTCCCTCTCCTGCTCCCCCTGCTTGTGTTCCCTCTCTCACTGTGTCTCTCTCTGTCAAATAAATAAATAAAACCTTTAAAGAAAAAAAAAGAAAATAATTTTAATATTCTAAGAGTAGTTAACCTGGATTTCATCAAAGCAACATCACTGCCCATGTGTTTGGTCTGGCATTTTCCTTTCAATAGTGTGTGTACTTCTTATATAAGTTAATTGATTTTTTAAAAATAAAACATGGACATTGTTCTGAGATTTAAATAGTATAATAGATTAAATAGATTTAAATAGCCTGGGTGGCTCAGTCAGTTGAGCATCTGCCTTTGGCTCAGGTCATGATCCCAAGGTCCTGGGATCAAGCCCCACGTCGGGCTCTCTGCTCAGCTGGGAGTCTGCTTCTCCCTCTTGCTCTCCCTCTGCCTGCAGCTCCTTCTGCTTGTGCGCGATCTCTCTGTGTCAAATAAATAAAATCTTTTTTTAAAATAGTAGTAATTGGCTTATAACAAAAAGGTATTTCCTTACCTTATCCCACTCCAATCCCTCCAGATCTCTACTCCAGAAGCAACAACTTTCAATTTGTTTTAGCTATTTTTTCTAGTATTTACAGATTTCCATTTTTGTAAGGAATTTGTATCTACTGTTATCTTTTGATTACTCAACTTTAGACTTTATTTATTGACTACTTATTATAGAAGATAAGGAT